AATGTTTCTCTTTGACGCGTGAGACTATTCCACCATTTGTTACCGGTATGCCCGCTTGCCGTCAACTGGAAGTTGGCTGCAGCCGGATACGCTAGGTATTTTTGTAGCGGGAAAATGTTGCATCTTTGAAATAGCTATGTGATAAAGTATCGATGTAAATATTAAACGGCGTCTCTTATATTTAATAGTATCAGTGAAGCAATTATAAATATATTTGTGTTGCGATAAATTCCAAATTTCTATAATTAATTCATGAACTGGAATTATTAATTATTCCATTATACTAATGCAAAGACAAACCATTAGTATTTTCGGCAATGGTTCTAACACTCTATGCAATAATCATCAACAATGAATTAAATAACAAGAAATTCATATCCAGAATTATATTAGAAATCTCGCTAAAGCTGTGCCTGTACGATGAAATTATAAAAGTTGATGAATTTATTATAGACGTACATGAAGTCACAGATGAAGGCGAGTGATTCTGTTCTTGGTAAAAAATAAAATGAAACTACGATGGTTATATGCTTAGGTACTTTTTATTCACTCTGAAAGTTTCACATATACACGTTAATTGCTAACGACATAATAAACAATGACATTAGAATCTGAGTAGATGTCCATATCACGGACCGTTGCGAGAAAAAGATGTGTCGTAATAATTATCATTATAATGACCATATATATATGCATAGGTAACAATATTTATAGATACATACAGACTACTGCAAATTATTCTATTCAAATACATGAGTTATCCTAATAATTCTTGATATTGGTTTATCTTGCATCTCCTCGGCTTTCTTTTATGCTAAAGCTCATAAGTTCTATATTCCCTACTCATTTTCCTTTACATCCTTATCACATTCAACATCATCTATTTTATAACTTTCTACTTTCTTCGGTTCCTTTTTTGTACCTCTTAATTTATTTCTTATCCTTTCCTACATTGCTCTCAAAAATATAAATATAAGATAGTCAATAAAAATTCCTACTTTCTATAACATAGTTACAATTTAAACAATAAACTAACTCTTTCTCTTTCTTTACAACTTCTAATTCTTCTTGAGTTTTTACTTCGGCGTCATTTTCCCAATCGCTACTACGGCCTTCCTTCCTTTTTTTATTTGCAAGTCCAGATGGTTCAACAGCTGTTTGTGAGCTTAATTTTGGATCAGTTAAATGATCATGAGCTGATTTGCCCTTACCAGTAAACTTTCTATTTAATATCACAGATTCTTCTTCATCTTCCTTTGCTTCTCCACCAAATGATAAAAGATTCAAATCTCTGTAACACAATTTTTCGTTGTAAAGAACAATACTATCAGGACTAAATTCTGCAAACATATATGATTTTTACTTTACTGCTGCTGTTTTAGTTTTTTAACTGTTCTTTACTTCTTCACTTTCCTGTACTATTATTCTTGGTATAATATCAGAAAATGGATTGTTCAATATTATAGTTTTTATCAATCTTGGAGGATAAAGTGGTCTATCATTCTACAAAAAAGGGGAAATATTATATTTATATCAATTATTGATATATTTTCTTGTAAACATTAAATTTACCTCATTTACAAGTGCTTCTTCGAGTTTAAGCATACTATATATAGATTCTCCAGTAGCTCTACCAGAAATTGTATGCTTATTCTGCAAATCTGGTGTAGAACTAAGAATAAAGAAGTATTGGGAACCATTGTCATCTTTCTAGCATTAACCATAGCAATTAAATCTCGTCGACAAAAACGTAATCGTGTATGAAATTCGTCCTAAAACATATATATCCAATAATTATTTTTCGATAAAAAAGGAATTCATTTTATTTTTAAATATAGTCTCACTTTTAATGGTTCTCCATATATTTTACCACCTTCTCCTGTACCCGTGGAATCACCACCTTGTGTTATGAATCCTTTGATAATTCTATGAAAGATAGTGTCACCCTAATAACCTTCCATAGATAACTGTATGAAATTTCTACATGCCTTTGGAGTTTCTTTTGCCCATAATTCTAACTCAACATCACCAACAGTTGTTTTCATTACAACCTAGTTATAAGAAATACATTAGTTTGATTAATGTAAAATACCTTTAAAATCAAATTTATTAAAATTTATTATTTACTATTGTAATTCAAGTTAGAAATTATTTAATATATTAATATAGAAATTTAGAAAGTAAATATTGTATATAGGTTAAATTTTTAAAAACAGATATACAATCCATGGAAGTATTATTAAATGATACTTATTACTTTACCTTTAGTGGCTGGCTTTTGCATATAAATATTACTCATGTTTGTAAGTCTCCTATAATAAAAAAAGTCCTTCATCAATAATATTTCATATTAAATCTTTAGTCATTTATAAATCAGTCAACCAAATGGTTCTTTTCTTGAATAATCATGCCTTTTACCTCCTTTTGACATTAGCTTTATTGGCCCAATGAAGTCCATGATGTGCCACAGCACCATTATAATTGCTTCTTTTATGCCAAGTTTCTATAAATATTTCTACACTTTTTTGTCTTAATGCAACATTTATACTGTATATTTAATTTATCTTTACCTTTCATAGCTATTATCACCTGTTCATTTTCCATCTCTTCAATGATCCTCATATTTCCATGTTGATACCGCACATTTTTCTCTGTTGATACATATTTTCTTTATGTATCTCAGCTCCGTCATTCTGTAACGTAACACATTAGCGATGATCATTGACTTTGACCATTGATATTAATATTTATTTAGATCAGGAATACAACATACCTTTCAATCTCACTGTATTCTCCATATCTTGTTGTTATAAGAGGCCATTACCTAAATCAGTTGTATTCTTTCTTGTCTGACTAAACCAGTTTCATTTTCTGCATCGTTATTTGACCATCAAAGATTTCTACCTTGTATGTCATATCGTTAGCCGACCTAGAATCCAATAGACATATACCTTACAGATTTGTATTGCTGCTTCAACTTTCTCCCGCTATAAAATATAATTCTTGGCATCTACGCTGATGATATTCCATGAGTCCAATATTTTTCTATCGTTGAACATGTCTATTTATTTCAACAGAATATTGTCTTTTCACAACCAAGCTCTGCTGTCACTAATGAAAGGTGGAAAAACAATGGCTCATAATTTACGCTATTTAATTACAACCAAAGGTTATGTTAATACAAACACTTACTTACATCCTTTTCGTGATGTAGGCACAACTGCATAGACACAACAATGCCTCCAGCGTTTGTTTGCAATTTTGTTTTCATTTCCTATGCACTCTCCTATTCACTTAGAGAAAAATTAACAAATTACTTGATTTCTGTGATTAATTTATGAACTTTAATAATTGCGTTGTAAAGGTATACCTTTGCATATTTGTCGTCTGTCAGGTAAAGAAATGAATGCTGATTGTCTAATTAAAACTGCTGTTTGAGCTGAATTTATTAAAAAATGTAGAAAACTTTATGATATGATTTATTAAAATATATTAAAATATATTCGAAGCACATAACCAAAGTTAGTAAACTATTCAAATACATCAGAGCCATGTGTCATTTTAGACTCGAAACTCGAGTTCCTCAATAAGAAGATAGATGGCTCTGATGATACTCGAATAGTTTACTAACTCTGGTTATGTGCTCCTAATACATTTGAATAAATCAATTGGAAAAGCAATGGAAAATTCACTAATTACTCGACTTCTGTGATTAATTTATGAACTTTTAGAATTGCATCGTGAAGGCAGATCCCTCAAGAACTTTCCAGTATAAGTTTGGATATAAATTTGTTGCTGATTAATTAATTATTAATAATTATTTCGCAGAGTGTTTGAATTCTTGTCGGACATACTGATAGTTTTTCATTAATTACTAAATTCTGGGAAATTAATTTATGAAACTTCATGTTTGCATTATAAGAACAACGTTTTTGCGAATCTTCTCATATCACTTTTGATCACATTTTGCTTCTAATTTCGCTCATTATTAAATATTTTCACGCAAGATCGAGACGGCCATTGTTACGAAATCATGGACGCCGTCAAACAATTATTAATAGCTAACTAATTAGCGTAAAATTCTTTACGAAAGTTATATAAGAATGTTGCCTAAAATTCCAGCTTTGCGATGAAATTCTAAAAGTTCATAAATTAATCACAGAAACAGAGTAATTTGTTAATTTTTCATTGCTGGAGTCCTTCTATCCTTTTCTAACCGCTCTCTGTCCTTGTTTGTCACGTGGCGAGCTCATCGACGACCTCATTGCGTTTCTGTGTTCCTATTACAAAATCCGAGTTTCGAGTACAAAATAATACATGAAGCTGATTGAATGTCGCTTGATTTTCAGCGACAGTATGTGCAGTAGTAAGTTGCTGAATTAGAGATATATTGAGTTTATTTTTTGAACAACATAATACTCGCAAGTTTCCCCTTTTATTTATGTCGTAATATGTTAATGTTGATGTAAAATGAATTTGACATAAAAAAATTGAATTGGGATATATCGTTTGTGGAGGCATAATTCTAATTTTTATTATAGTTATTAATAAGATGAGAAAAAAAATTAAAATTATACTCTTTTTATATTTTTTTTATTCTTCTTACAGTGAAATTTATAAAGTTGTACATACAAATATTTTACGCAAAACAGTATGTAATTTCAATACAATTATATAATTACATTATGGTGTATTTAAAAAATATAATTTAAAATAGAAGTAAGCGACATTCGATTATGCAAATATAAAGTTAAAGCAGGTGACACGCAGAAAAATTCACCCATAGAATTCTAAAAAATCGACGTCATTCTCCAAGCATTTAAAATCTCGGTGTTAAATTATTCTTATTACATTTTATATGTTAAAAAATCAGGTTCATTGGGGGACACTGATTATATATAATGATAGTACATACATATAAAAAATAATATGTAGTACAATTAATTATATTATTATAAAATTAATAGAAGATACAGAATTTTGCGAATTACTTAATATGTAGTTAACAAATGCGATTTATTAATTAATTATTAAACAATATTACTGGTAGTTCTAAGCGAATTTGGTATTTTAATATACCATGTCTTAATCGAAATTGATATTTTCACTCATTGCAGTTTTCCGTTAGTAAATAATCCTTCTTCAAGCTCTATGACAATCACGTGTTGGATATTACAGATTAAAGGAAAAGTTAAAATTTGTTGGTCAGTATAGTCAACGTTATTATCGAAAGGGTTAATGCATTGTTTTATATACTATTATTCGAATTATGAATTTGGTAATTATGTTACCAAATTATGTTAAGGTACACTTCCTCGACACGGATGATTTCTTGATATGTTGTAAAAAATAAAATTCCGAACAACAGAATTTTACGAGCATCCACGTTCACCTATAATTTGTGAAATATTTTAGCAAGAAATTTTTATCACCGTTGAATTGTATACTAGCAATACGTAAGTACTTACGTACCTCTAGAAGTGCATACTTCAGTACGCGGTCACTGTTTACCTACTGTTTATACAGGTACGAATAAAAATCAATTCGTAAGCTTTAGATTTAGGCATATAACAAATGAACTTATTAAAAAGGTGCCTCGTCGTGGAATTTTAATGTACGCGACCTGCACAATACAAACGATCACTTATACAGTAGAATCCAAACGTAATAGTCTCCACGGAGAAGTTTGAAAATACTTCGATTTGACAAAAATTTCTTGTGACTATTTCGGAAAATATTTAAATTGTATTTAAAAAAATTGTCAAAAATTTTAATTTCTACAATATATAAAAAAATCATCGTGACTAATGAAACGTACCGTAACCTACGTAATTATCAATTATCAATTTCTATCGTAGTATAAAGCCACATAAAATGACTTCGTGTGGATATCAGAGTGGGCTCAACATTCTGCTTAATCTGGATATTGATGATTATCATGCCAGTATCGTGCCATCTATAGGAATAAAGGTATTTTTGTTACATTAATTCCTATAAAGGGAAAGAAATATATCTAGAATCTGTTGTAATATCATTTTTTTACACTCTCCGAATTTTCTTCTATCAAGTATCTTTTCGTATTTTTGAAAAATGTCCAATTACCATGATTTTCCTTCTCTTATTTTGAAATAGATGTCTCCCGTTAAAAATATGTTTGAGTACTTTTCAGGAAAGAAACAAAACTTGATAAAAGAAAATCTAAAAAAACGTAATCGAGTTAATGCTATTAATATTTAATTATCTTGTGTACGAAATTATATTAAGTCAGTCACAAAAATATTCGAATATACATACGTATAATATCCTATATTTTAAATAAATATCTAATGAACACCATAATTGTACAGTTGGATTTATACGACTTGAAACTCCATAATTTGAAAACCTTTGTAAGTCTATAATTGTTATTCATTCTCTTTGCTTCGTTGAAGAAACACTTAAAATATTAAAATGCAGGTTATGTTACTTTATCTCGAATTATTTGTTACAATTAATAAATTAGATGCATTGTCTTACTTCTGAAATTCAAATTATAAAAAATATCATATTGGATATAAAAAAAGAAAGAAGCATTTTTATTTGTTAAATCTTTTTCACTTAAAAATTTCGATAATACAAAACTTTCATATACTGCAAAATTTTAAGTCCTGTTTTCAGATTCGAATTACCGTAATTCGACTGTAGAACATTATACGAATATTTTTGTAACGGATAGTATTTTTCTCGATTATATTAAAATTATAATTTCTACATATTTCTGTACAGATCATGCTGCATGATCCTTACGATTATCCTGATTATGATGCACCGAGTAAACTGATAGGCGTAGATAAATATTCGTTTCTGACTGTCCAACCTATAGAAACATATTCAACCAGAGATATCAGAGAAGCACGTTCTAGAGAATGTATATATTACGACGAAGCAAATAAAACTATCGGTGACAATACGAAAAGAAATTTCATTCCTGCAAGATATTCATTTATAAATTGTCTGACGGACTGTCGTGCAGCTGTAATTAAGCAAAAATGTGGATGCATTCCCTACTATTATCTGCAAAATAGTTAGTTTATTTTGTAAACAGTTTGTTCTAGATAATAAATGCACGGTCGCTCGCGAAAGTATTAGAACGCTCACGTTGCGAACCTTCGACAAACAAAATACCCAAGTTCAATATAAATTTGAAAAATAATACTGCACCTAAGGATAAATGTAAAAAATATTTAGGGAAAATTATGTAATCATACCTTTTACTAGAGACATAATTATTATTGTTATATTAATTTATATTAATACTTACTTGAACATTTATTTCGTATGCAATATTATTTTGTAAGTTTCAAATTAAGTGCTTGTATTTGATTTGTTAAAAATTTATTACAAAACCGTTTGAATACTTTTATGAGCGTATATCGTAAATTTTCAAAATATTTAATAATGCAACATTTTTTACATTAATTATTAGACATAAAATAAAACGCAAATCATGCATTGAAACATAAAAAAATTTGTAAATTTTCATTCATATTTTTTTATCTGCTTTAAGACAAATGATATTCTATTCTACAGATACCAGAGTGTGCAATTTGAGAGATGTTGAATGCCTAGAAAAATACAAATGTAAGTTTCAGAGATTTATAAATATTATCAATCTCTTACTCTATATAGTATGGACGATTTATTTGTGGAATTAGAAAAATTGTAAAAATTGAATACTTTAAATGGAATACCATTGTGATAATCAATTATATTAAAAGATAATAAAATTAAATTTTCAGTTTGGTATGATACCTCTTGGCCAGGAACGGACATGTCGTCTAAAACTTTACCACTTGTAGAATTAAGAACTGAAGAAAGACCTTGTAATTGTAGACCTGATTGTAACTTCTATCGTTATATCATAGAGAATTCTGCAGGAAATCTTGACAAACGCGTTTTTTACAAAGGTCTTACTTATACTACGTATCCCAGGTACTACCTTTTGTTAAGAAAAATAATATATTTATTATAAAATGTTTAAAATATCAAGTGAAATAATAATTAAAAATTTTCGCTTATAATGTGAATCAAAAATATTGTTTAACAATGTTAAGATTACTTTAAAATAAGTTGTTAAAATATTATCAGATAATCAATAATGTTCGTAGGGAATTACGAATAAAATTACGAACAGATTACTTTTCTTTATAGCAAAGGAAAAGCTTGGAAAAATCAAAGTATAATCCATATATTTTTCGGCGATCTGGTGTCTATTCAGTACCGACGAGATTTGCGTTACAGTTGGCGTCACTTATTTGGTAATATCAGTTATTTATTAAAATAATAAATAAATTTCAATTGCTACATTATGATAATAAATATTTGATATTTGTTGTAGCAACATTTGGCGGTCTCTTAGGAGTATTCGCGGGTTTCAGTTTTATGTCCATCTTCGAAATTATTTATTTTTTTGTTATTCGGGTTCTAACAGATGCATGTGTAAAAAGGGATACAAAAAATATAAAGTAAATGTCAAGAATTTGTATCATACAAAATATTTGCATTTATACAAAATATTATTAATAAAAATATAATTTTTCTTGTATTTTGTAAAATATAGTTATAACTATTTATAATGTAATATATTAAAATTTAAATCATTTTCTTTTTATGTATGTGTTTGATATTTTGGTAGTAAAAAATCCGTAAGTAACCTATATTTTAATAATTCAGATAACTGACCAATGGATTGTATTCCATTTAATTTTCCTTTCTTCTTCAATAACGATTTCATTGTTTTTCTGACAACTTGTAAAAATGTTACTCTCTCTTCCTCAGTTTGTAAAATACTACAAAATTCTTGTATAAACCACGATCCTGTAAAATACTAATTTATAACATGTGAATATTATAATTAAAATACCTACATACAGTATATATATAATTATACGTTACCATCTTTCTTATGTCGTACAGATACAAAACCTTGCATAGTTGACATAAATATACAAAAGTTTCTGTATATTGAAATATCTGAAGAATTATAATTTGTAGAACCATCTGTAGTTAAAGCATCATTTACTTGTCCTGCAATTAAATGTTATCACAAATGTATAAATAAAAATCTTAATCTGTTAATATAATGTTAAAATTGTTGTTACCAATTACTTCTCCTTGACAAGCTTGTATAATAACTATTTTAATAACATTTTCTAACTCTGCAGAACAAAATTTATACTCAATTTCATCAATGCTAACTTCTTCTGCATCTGCACTAATAATACCACCTAGAACATTAATAAATTATATACTGTATGATAATGATACAAAGTATAAACTTTAAATTTTACCTTTACAACCGTGACTTAAAATGCATACAAAAATGCAATCATAATCAATACCAAATTCTTTTGGAATATTTTCTAACATTCTAAGTATTTCATCCTTTTTTAAATCATTGTACTCTTTAATGGTAAAACCAATACCTTTAAATGTTTCTGATAATTTCATACAATCAGCAGCAGTTCCAAATCTAGTTTCATACTGAAATATTATATAAATTTATATAGAATTAATGATGCTATATTAAAATAAGTATAGTTATAGACATTAATATACATTTTGACCAACAAAATGCATTTGACTTATAATAATACATAGACCCTTGTCTATATTTTTTATATCTTTTTCTTTTTCAGTTAACAATTTTTCTTCCACGTCTGAGGTTTCCCTCATGGAAAACATTTGTAATTGTGCTGTATTAGAATTCATATGTTGAGTGTCCAACACATTTTGATGCTTTTCATTAGTTTCTAGATCTTCATAAATAAGCTCCAAATCATCAAATCTTTTCAAATGTTTAAGTAAATTTTTTAACTTTACCTTACCATCTAAGATAATCAGAAATTATATAAATAAAATATATAAGATTACAAAATTATAAAATGTAAACTACTTGTAGTAAATAACCAAAAAAAAAACAAACCTAAACATATTGAAATATAATTTTCCTGCATCCAATACAGCATATGTAATTCAAGATAGTCTGTATCCTTTAAATTTTCATCATATTTAGTTAAATCAGCTCTAACATATTGTAGTAACAACTTTATTCTATCTATAGTAAGAGCTTCACATAATATATATAAACATTTTGCAGTCAAGTTTAAGTATCTGGAACATAATCTATATTTTGGCAAATACAATACATTTATATATTCAAATGATATTCCTAATTTTCGTAAAATTTGTTTATTTTGAATAACACATATAGCTTCCACTAATTTATTTTTCCAATTTTCAGAATATTTATTTATAAATTCTGTTAATATATAAACTTTGCATTCTTTATGCTTCTGTAATAAGTCATAAATTTCTTTAAAACCATGTTCATAATCAGTTGTCATCAAAAATAAAATGGATATTTTCTCATCAATATCAAGGTCATCTTCTATCTTCCATAAAATATCTTTGTTTAATATATTTGTGGTTACATTACTTTTTATATTAAAATATGGTTTAGCATCAACAGAAAGGGACATTGTTTCCTTCAAATCAATAATAATATATATAATATAATAATGAATGCTACAAATAAAAAACAATGAAAAAGATACGTGTCAACATAAATTTATTTACAATATAAAATAATTATATATGTTTACTAACCTTTATTGACAAAATAAGTGAGTTACTTAAAAATAAATAAAATAATATAAGAAAATGAAATTATATACTTTTAATCAAACACAAATAAACAATTCAATCGAAAAATGACCATCACACTTTCTTTAAACATTTTCGAATATTCAGATATATATTTATACATAAATTATAACATATGTATTACATTTATAAAAATTTTTTTTTAAATCTAGTGAAACACATACTATTGCGCATTAGCTTAAAATTTATTTGTGTATGATTAGTAAACATTTATAACTGTTTATATACGTTTGGTTTGTTCAAAATTTAATCAAAGCACCATCTAGTAAAATATACATGCGAAAATATCGATCGTATTATAGGAAATTACAATTCGAATAAAATCTGTTTCATGATTCAATTTCCATGGCAAAATGGATGAAGATTGGTGAAAGAATAAGTTGTGAAAACAAACCTTGAATATTGTTAGAAAGTTTTTGTAAATTAATAGATGAATATACCACGCTTTTGTGTTCCATTCATATTTTGATTATGTGTTTATACGTTAGCTGACGGTGTTTTATTGTTTATCGTTACTGTAAGGCCGTACATTTTCTTAAAAATTTATAGTGACTAGGCCAAGTGCGTTCTACCAAACAGGTGCTTTTGACGTCACGTCGTCGTATTCGTACTCATTTTGTCAAAATGTGGTTACTTTAAATTATATCAGCAGTGATTAAAATTTGCTAATCCCATATTAATTTGAAAACCAACTTCGAATCATTGGTTCGAGTTGCGGATTTGCTTCAAACATTGCAATTCACTTAAAATTAAAAATCATGTCTAAGAGCAAACTTCACCATCAAGTTGACAGCAATATTGTTGCAGTGAAAAGTAAAGTAAGCTAATTTTTAATTTAAAGTTTCTATTTTTTATTTATATCATTATCTATTAAAAAAAAATCGTGTACTAATATTAAAATATTCCATATTTTTTATTCTATTGAATATCTTTGTACCTGATTTTTTTTCTTTTTCTTTTTCATAGTTTGATGCAGATATTATAAGATTTTCAGTCAACCGTAATGAAGCAATCAGTTATGAAGATTTTAGAAAGTTATTGGCTGAACGACATGATATTGGCCCTGATTTAAGTTTTCTTATATGGTACACGGATCCAACTGATGGTGATTTATTACCTATTAACAATGATAATAACTTGGCAAGGGCATTACTTGCTGCAAAACCACTACTTAGAATTTTTATTCAAAGAAAGGGTAAGATAATTTTTTAACAAATGTTTAAGCAACATAAATTTCTCTGTAGCAAATTTTGGAAAATAAGTTTGTAATGTAAGGTATAAGTTTTTATAAGTAAAGTTATTTAATCCAGAGTGTAAAGTAAATGTTCAAGAAAAAAATTATCTACAAAAAAGACATTTTTTTTTAGTTTTATTAACTATGTCTATTGTCATAAAGTTTATTGATTTTAATATTCTTTAATTTAATATTGTTAAGATATTTATACCTACATAAAGTTAAGTTATTTTGTATAATAGGGGATGGACTAGAAGATATAAATGGATATGGAACAATGAAACCAAAAAATTTAATATCAAGTATCCTTGGTGGCACACCTGGAAAACCAAAGTCATTGGCTATATCTAATCCACATGATTTTAGGCAGGTATGTCTTAGCTATATAAATACAAATTATATAATGTTTCATTTAAAATAGAAATAAAATAAAAATTTTGCTGATAATAATAGGTATCAGCAATAATTGATGTAGATATATTGCCAGAAACTTGTCGCCGTGTACGTTTGTTAAAACATGGTTCTGATAAACCATTAGGATTTTATATTAAAGATGGTGAAAGTTATCGAGTATTACCACCATCAGCAGGAGGTGGTGTTGAAAAAGTTCCAGGGGTATTTATCAGTAGATTAGTACCAGGTGGCTTAGCTGAAAGTACAGGTCTTTTAGCAGTAAACGATGAAGTTCTTGAAGTTAATGGTATAGAGGTTGCTGGAAAAACTCTAGATCAAGTATGTAGAATTATGGTGTAGCTTTTATACAATTACATTCTTATCTCATTCTTATACCATTTTTATAATATACATATTTTATACATTTTAAATATATTTGAAATAGGTCACAGATATGATGATTGCCAATTCTTCAAATCTCATAATCACAGTAAAGCCAGCAAATCAACGAGCAGCATTAGCTGCTCCAAGACGTGGGTCATTTTCACGTAATAGTCAATTATCTTCTGGAAGTCATCAGTCCACACAAAGTGCTGCAACTGGCAGTGATGAAGATGCAGATGAAATTGTAGACTTAACTGGTGTAACATTACAAGATGATGCAACAACTTCTACTTCTCAACATCATCATTATCACCATCATCATCATCATCATCAAAATCATTTCAATCATGATCAAGGTGTTCTACATTTATAAATGACATGCGATACAAAACTCTATATTATGTCATGCTCAGTTGAATATTGGTTCAAGTATTCATTCATACAAAGAAAACATTTAGTAATAAGTATAAAAATATAACATGACAATAAGAAATTGAAATACTGAAATGAATGAAGCATTACAGAGTACTATTTACATAATTTAATAATCATTTAATTTGATTGGGCATAGAAATGAATAGAAAATTCATATCAAATAGACATTTTTACTAAATATTCACTGTGCCTTTTAACTTAATACATTTTTCATTAAAATCATTCTTTAATATTATTAGAGTTATAATATTAAATTTTTAATATCATTAAAAATTATTAATCTTACTAAATCAACATTATTTTGAAATTTACATTTCATAATTATTTTCAAAATAAATCTTTCAATTAGAAAATATTCTAAACATACTTTATATACAAAATAGATAATAGATATAAAGGTGAAATATAAATGAAGAACATATTTTTATTTCTACAGATTAAAATTAAATCTTCTAATTTTGTACTTATTTAACAATATGCACTTTTTATTTTCATATCTTTTGTATATGATATTTATATCGAGATACAAAAGGTATTAAAAAAATAAACTTCTTTTAAGCAAAACAAGAAAAATATAATTGACAAATAACATGATTTAATTATAGTTAGAACTTGGTAATGAACTAAATTATTCACATGATATTTTTAAATCAAAACAAAATTTTTTAATTCATAAATTTTATATATATATATAATCTTTTTTCTTTCAATCTGTTGAAAAAATACATAGTGATATAAATATTGACTGTGTATAAAAGTATTATTGGAAAACAGCAATATTTTTGAAGTATTGAAATAATATTTATAGTACTTAATATACAAACTTAAAGTGTACTTAAAAACATTAATGGATACTGGAATGTATTACAACAGATTTAACGTTTAAGGTATACAGGTATTTTTAAAATCATGTTTTAACATTTATATTAATTAGATAACTTGCAATGAAATCTGTTATAACTATCATTAACATTTTATTCATCATTTCATAATATATTCATTTTTTAATTGATTTCCATCATTTCTTTATGTATATAATGCAGCTAATTAAGTTCAATAATGTAATTTATCGTTATAAGTAGAGGCCTTTATTCAATGATAAAAAAATGTATATAAGTGTAACCTAAGTGGAAGAAATGCTATTATGAATATTTCATTTTAAATCGAATATAAGATGAAAAAGAAATTGAGTGGCCTTGTACTTAGATCATTCCAAATATTTTTTACAAAAATGCAAAACTGGGATTATTCCTATTGTAATGCATTAAGAAACACGTTTATTCGTGTATGTATTCTGTTTATTCTACTGCATGTCTAGAGTGTTAAAGTTTTCGAATTTTAATTCCATTTTTATAAATGTTATTTGTTGTCTAATTGAACACTAGATATTAAAATATACTTTACAAGTTTTCTAGGTATAAGAACTCTTAATATTATGAAACATATTTATGTAAAATATTTTTCTTATATATTTGTGCCTTCATTATTTCATTTATGAATATAACAATTGGATTGTGATAAATTGTATCGCATTCCATCTCTATAGTATTTTTGTAGTGTAAGGAACATATACAATGTTTCAATAATTATGTCTTACCATATTAAGAAAGAAATGTTAGTAGCCTTAATAGTTACACAACTAAATATCTATATATTAGTTTAATTATATTTTCTCAGTTAGATTGGCAAAGATATGAGCATGCATTAAAAAAGAAATCTTATGACAGAGTTATAAACTAACTTCCATATTAATATATTTTAATTATCAAGTTAAAAAAAAAATTATTTGTACAATGTTATCATTTCTAAGTTTGCTGGTTCAGTCCTATTGATTACTAATACATTATGTATATGTATGTAATGTATACATATATAAACAGAGAGAAAGAATGAACTTTATTTATAGGAATAAATATTATTTTTGTGGGAGAAAACGAACGATGTGTATACAGATAGTATTTTAGACAATTATATAGTAAAACATATAATTATATATATGTTCAAACAATCTATATATAACATTTTGTACTTAACTAAAATATATACATATTAGTATAATTTTATTATCTTTATGAAATTTTAATTAAAGTATAGAGTAATTATTCTGGCAAATAATTTCTATACTGTCATGGTGTATTATAAAGTGTATGCCACGTCTGCATTGTGTTTTATAGCACTGATAAACCCAAGAAACTGCGATAAATACTACTTATATGTAGTAGCATAACTCTTTTTAATGGCAGCTTATAAAATAAAATATTTTATTGTATAATTGCGTAAATTTTATTGGTCACCATTTATATTATTTTAAGTTTTGTTTTTTAACAGTTACTATAGTATATAAATAAAAACAATCAAATAAATAATGCAATTTATTTCATAAATTGTGTCTTTAGATTGCGTCGGTTATGTTAATAGTAGTAATAATTAATGTATAAACTGATATCGAGTAAAACAAAAGGAAAGTAAATATGTCTTATGTGGAACATGGTCCTCGAATTTTTTTAGCCAGTAAACATAACTCAGGAATACCTTTAATATATGGTGACTATGTTTTACCAAAGAAACGTTTGGAAGGTCGATTAAAATTACATGATTCTTGTTCGGATATAAGAGCGTGGAGTCCGAATTCTTTAGAAAATTCACGTTACTTTCGTGAACTTAGTGAACATGATTCGCCAGTATGTATTTAATGAAACAAAATTTTTATAATAAATAACATTTTATCTATCTTTTTTTATAGGTAGGGAAGATAATACCATTTAATGTAGTCATTGATAATATTATTCAACTTAATTCGCAAGCTCAAGATGAACTTCAGGCGGTTAAAAGAGAACTTAAAAAATATAAAAGTCTTAAACTTACCCCTAAACAAGAAGAACAATTACAAAATTTAGTAAATAATTTTCTGAATATATTATCATATATAATACTATTATATAGATCTTTTTAAAATTAATAATTTCATATTGCTTTATATTACTTTTTAGGATTATAGTTCGAAAATAAAAGAAGTACTACAGAAAAAAAGCTATATTACAGGAGTTTTAAAGAATGCAGCTTTTAATGTCAATAAATTAGGTCCAGATATTCCATCAAATTCATATTTATCAATTCATATACCTCATGAAAGAAATTTACAAAGTAATACAAAAAACATATCATCTATATCAAACCAATTTAATCAATTATGTCCTTATTCTTTAATTACATCTAATGTAGATCCATTTTTAAAAAATTATAATATAATACCACCATATAAATCTATCAAGAAACTCCCTATTGCAGGTAAAATAGTTAAGAGTACTTAAAATTTTCAATTTTCTCAATTTTTATTTTTATTTCACTTTTATAGATTTCAGAAAAAAGACATCATCCTGGATAGAATATGTTGATGTAGCTTTACAAGTAGTAACATAATATCAATCATGCTATTTATAATATTGTTAATTTCAGTTAAATAAATTTAGTATCTATTTGTAGGTAGAAAAAGAAACACGTGATGTAGAAGTACAAATCGATGATCAAGTTGATAAATATTTACACAAAATTATAATGATATCTGTATGGATATAATTGTGCTTTTTGCCACTTAAATAATATATTTACATAAATATTATATTATTTAGGCAATGTCACAAACGTCATTCACATCCAAGTCTAGTGATGATACAATAGATAGAGACAAAAGTAGTTCACAAACAAATAATCACGAGGAACAAAGTTTTGAATGTGATCCATTTTGTAGTAATAGTTCACAAAATATAGAGAGTCCAGAGGAATCTGATATTGAAATGGAAACGGAATCAGATTTTGATCTACATAATACTGTTCATAAAGGGATTATAATTCAAAAAGATTCTGAAATCATTGTTTTAAAGAATGAATTATGTGTATGATATATTAATTTAATAATTTTCATAATTATATAATAATTTATACAATCATACTTAATTTTTAGGTAAGAGATGCAGAATTAGAAGAATTAAGAGACATGATTAAAGATTTGGAGATTTTACTAAAAGAAAAGGAAAATTGTATACATACTCAACAAGGAAATCTTAAAGTAAATATATAAAGCATAACTTTATAGAATGGCTCTAAAGTATATTTATATTGCATAATTAAAGTGAAATCAATTAATATTTAATAATTGTTATGCAGATATTACATGAGAAGTTGTTTAAATTAGATCATGAACATAATTATGAAGTAGAAGACTTAAAACAAAAGGTACTGTGCATTGCATTTTATTATTTTATTATATTATTGCATTTTTGTATCTATTGCACTTTATAAAGATTCTTCCTTTTTTTCTAGATCTACAGTTACAAATATTTAGTGGAACAACTTAAACAAAATTTATGTGAGAAATGTGAAAATTTGTATTTATGCTCTAAGGAAATTGAGAAACTTCATGTATGTGTTAAAAAAAATAATTTTTAATTAGTAATTATTCCTATTTGATACCAAAGATTAAGTAAAAACAAGTATTATTTACTGTGTTTATATTGTAGAAAAAAATGCAAGACGTAGAGCAATTATCAGAAAAAACAAATAATTATAAAATCACCTTGGAACAGTTAAAAAATGTTTTGGAAGAAAGAGATGAGCTTAAGAAACAAAATTATGAACAAAATTGTATATTAACAGATCAGGAAGAAAAGTTAGATCAGTTGTCAAAAGTGGTTAAAGAACTGTCTACTACATATAATGAACAAGTATATTATTTTTATAATATTTATTAATTGCTTCATTAATTCCTAATTATTTATTATATATTACTAATTATTAGATGGAAACAAAGACTATGCTTGAAAATTTAAAAATTGAAATTCAAGATAAAGATATTAAGATTACACAATACGAAGAACAATTAACTTCTATGAAACAAGAAATTAGTGATTTCTTTAATAATTTAAAGTATGCTTTAAACAATTTGGAAGAAATTAATGGTGTTTGTGAAGAAGTTTGTAGTTGTACAAACTGTAATCTGGATATTGGTGAAGAAGCAAATAATATACTATGTAATATAAACATAATTATGACAAGATTTCAAAGTTACAAAGTAGAAAGTCAGAATCTTTTACAACAAATAGGAGATTTAAAGCATTATATAAAAAATGATAAACAACAAACCCATTTTGATCAAAATTTAAAACGTGTGATATATGAAGAATTTTGTTGTCATTCTGAAATAGATTCAAAAAATACAAGTAATGTTATTACTTAAAATTTACATATTGGAATTATGTATCATATTTCCTACATTATAAGTGAAATCAATATCATAAATAATTATATTCATTTAGTTGAAGATAATACAATTTTATTAAATAAGAAACAAAGTAAAAACGATATAAATGAAACAGAATTTGGAAAAATTTTAAAATCATCTAACAATAAAAATTTATTAAATGAAATAACAAATAATTTAGATTCTTACGAACATAAAAAGGTAATATTTTTGATTTACTTTTTATTTTAAAACAAGTAGTGATATATGCCTTCCAATAGGAATATCATAATTACATTATTAAATTGAGTAGAAAGGATGATATAGACAAAATACAACGAGAAATAATTGAATATTTCATACATTTTTTAATTAAAGTACGCTCTCTTACACAAGAGTTAGAAATATATCTAGAAATTGAACGACCTGTAATGATTAAACAAACTTATTATTTTTATGAAATTCTTAAGGATATACAATCTGCTATTAATAATTCTCAAGGTAATTTAAACTTTCGGTTTGTAACTTAACAAAATTTTTATTAATATAATATATTAATATATTAATCCTTTGATCAGATATAACTTTGAAAAAGCAACTAATTTTAGACTTATATAATCAACATAAAGCAGAACATAAGAAGCATGATTCATATATTAAACAGTTTCCTAACAATTTATTACAAATACAAAAAAAAATAAATGAATTTATTGAAAACATTTTATGTCAATTACTAAGTGAAATATCACATAGAGAAAAAAGACATCTAGGTGATAAAAAAATTAATCGAGCATTTGAAACACATCTGAGGTCTTTTATAAACAGAATAAATATAATTCTTCAAAGTAATTTTTAAATATTTAGAATGTATTATATTATAATTTTAATTGTTTATTTATGTATATTATTATTAACATATATTGTATATATGTATATGTGTATGCATATGTACGCACGCGCGTGTGCGTGTGCGTGTATGTTAATAATCATATATATAAAATAATACATTTCTCCTTTAATTATAAATAAATATAATAGAATATATAATATTAACATGCACAACAAAAATAATGTTATAAGGTACTGGTGATCAATACATACAAATATTTGAAACAATAGAAGAACAACAAAAAGAATTAAGAAAGAAAGAAGTAGAAATAGCTCAACTAAAAGAGAAAATGATGGAACAGCGAAGAGGGGAAGGTGACTGTTTAAATACATTTGAAAAGAGAATTGAAATAAAAGAACAGCTATCAAAAGTAACTGCAGAACTTAATAAAAAAGATGCTCTTATATTACAATTAGAAGAACAGCTTGAAGTATTTAAAAATAAATTCTCTATATATGATAACGAGTGCAATGCGCTAAAGAAAGAGTACAAAAATCTAGAAAATCTAAAAAACAGATTATTAAAAAGATGTCAGCAAAACAGAAAGCAATTATCAATGAAAAGTAAACAAATTAAGAATTTATCACAGCAGGTTCAGAAACATCTTAGAACTAAAAATTTAAAAATTATCCTGAAAAATAAAATTAGAGAAATGGAAAAAAGGTAATATCTTTTTTGTTTCATAAAATAGTATTATTTTATGTTGTTTTAACTATTAACATATTTGTAGATTTATTGACTTACAATATGAAAATAATAAATTAAAAACGAATATTATGCAAAGGAATATAATTATTTCCACAAAGGATAAAACTATAATTAATTTAAAAAATAGTATTAGTAAAACTAATAATATCTTATCACAAAAAGTTACTCAGTATGAAAATGTAATGGAAGAGAAACATCATGAAATTATAAAATTGGAAGATGAAAATAAGTTATTAAATGAAAAAGTGAAAGATATTGAGCATAAACTCACAGGAATGAATCAAGCAATTATATCTTTAACTGAGCAAAATGATAAAATTAATATCATATATACAATGCAAGAACATCTTACAAAATTGGATAAGAATGAGGAGAAACTAAAAGTTCAACTCAACAATTTTAGAACACAACTTATAACTGTCCAAAATGATAATAAAGAACTTAATACTTGCTTAGATACTTATCTGCATGAAAATGAAATCTTGAAAAAAAATGTGGAATATTGGAAAAATGAAAACTCTGAATTATCAATTACACAATGTAATGAATTAATAAAAGAAGAACTAAAAAGCAAATTATATATTCTTTCATATAAAATACATGAAAACCTATTAAGATTTATAAAGCTGTCTAATTTAGAAATAAATTCAGCAAATAATAGTTTCATTAAAGAATTACAAGATAAATATATAGTTAATAAAGTAGTTTATCATATAAATTCGGTTAATTATTAATTAGTAATTAATGTCTTTTTTATTTTTAGGTTCATCAAGACCAAGAAGTAGTATTAACTATAGATAATACAATTAAAGACTTACAATTGGAATATGGAGATTTAAAACGAGGAATAAAAGAAAATGAAATAGAAGACATTGAAACAGAATTATTGAATAATATAAATATGAAAGAAAAAATGCTCAAAAATGATTATATACCATTTGAGCAATTCAATTTTTCAAAAGATAATTTAATGATGAAATATAAGATAAAACATCTAGAAAATGAATATAATGAGAACCAAAATGAAACCAAGAATAAAGATTTTGAAATACAACATCCTAAAGAAATCATAAAATACTTAATACAAGAAAATGCTGTTCTTCGTGCTAGCCTTAAAGTAGCTATTACTTAATATTAGTATAGCAAGTATACTATTTCTGTTAATATATTATGTCTAACTACTTTATATCATATAATACTTTTACTTTAATACTCCTACAATTATTATATAGTCTCAGATGGAAGAATATCAAAACAAGTTAACATTAATGAAGAAAAACTATGACAGTAGTTTAAATGCACTTTGTGAAAGACATAAAGCAAATGTTGAAATTTTACAAAAGCAATTTGAAGATGACATAAAAAATGAAAAGATTTTTGACTCAGAAAATTGGTTACTAGTATGTAACTATACTTTTATGTAATAGTAACTTTATTGATAATAATTATATTTATATCTTTTAGTCATTGGATATGAAAGAATTAATGGAATTGTACGAACGGATAAGTGTAATTTTGAATAGCAATGCTAATGTAATTCACATGCAAAATGAAAATCAATGTTTGTATGATAACAGTGTTCAACAACAATTTTATATAAAACAGAATGAAATGGAAAAGGAATTCAAAATTTTACCAAAAAATACTTATCAAGATGGTAATAGAAATAATATATAAAAAATATTTGTTAACATATTTATGTCTGTAATATTAACATAATTAATATTATTTTAAAGAGGCGAAACTTAAAAAAATAGTGTCCCCAGTTTTGAAAGAAAAAAATACATACTTCAATCAGTGGCAATTTATTGCTTCCAGTGATATTCAAAAATATTCAACTTTAAAAACACAAAATTATAAATCAAGTTTAGAATATAACCTTGAGTAAATTATTAAATACACCAATTTATATTAACATTATACAAAATTTTACAAATATTATACGTTATAGATACTTCAATAATGAAGAAAAATCTTCAGAATTGGAAATTAAATATGAGAAAGAAAAACAAATGGAGAAAGACACCACTGTATATTTTATATTTTAAATTTATATATTTTTTATTTAATTATGCTTATTTTACGTTAATACATATTTTTTTACTTTCAGTTTGATCAACAACGATGGAATTTTATTAATCAATGTAGCGCATATCATAAATTGAGTAATATCTGAATGCACTTGAACACGTTCTGTGGTTAATATTATTAACATGTTTTAAAATGAATTTCATTAATGCCGTTTTAAAAAAATATTTCTTTTGACTAAATGAAATTTATAAAGATCGCAATACATTTTTATAAGATGTTTATTCCGAATTTTAATATTGTAATATTTTTGATATTATATTTTGTTCTATTATAAATTATACAATTACTGATGTAAGTATTAAAACAATTATCATCAAATGTGAAATAATTATAATAAATTTGAATAAAATTTCATTCTTTATAATAAAAACTTAATTTATTTACAATAAATGATTTAGAAAGTACATATACCTAAAAATTAAATAAAAATTCGAAATAAATATAACAAACATATAAAATCTATAAAAATATTTAAAATAATATCGAATTTTCATATGTTCCTATTTTAATTTTTATATATTTTTCTTCACTTACTAATGTAGAATATTTATACTAGCATAAACTATTTATTATTTATATAGTATAAACTATTATGAAGCTGTAGATTTTAACGAACATTAAAAAATTTATATTGTTATTCATTTTTTAATTCCAATATTATATTTTTATTTTTTACACAAGTATTATTTTAGATTATGAATTAACATGTAATAAATTAACAATTTTATCACAATTTGTTATCAAATCGAAGGCACTATTATATTTTAAAACTTCATTTTTCAACTCTTTAAGTTTAATTATACCATTTTTATGAATTTTTAAATTTCTTTTTCTATACCTAACTGCTGTAATCATTTTATCTAAAGTGTAATGTAACCATAAAATATTTGTATAAGGTTCAAATATTTGCCAATTGTTTCTGGAATAATTTATAAATAAATATATAACTTATTCCCACTTTAAAATTATATGTAAATACTTACTTAACTTTATTCTTCATTAAACGATATATTTCAAATTGATATTCACCCTGAGCTGTAAAAAGGGTAGGATCTGATGCAAGATCATTGAATATGCTACATCCTTGATATTGTATTCTTGAAAGTGTAAAATCTATAATAGACACCTGAAATCAGCAATTTAATATTTTAATCTAACATAAAAAAATAAATATTATTATTAATTAAAAAAGACAATAATTATTCGTTTATACCTTTACACCTTTACTAATTAACTCAATATTTTTTTGTCCAAATTTATAATGCACATAAGCATTATCTGTTGGAGATATTAATATATTTCCCCAATGCAAGTCTCTGTGTTCAAATTCAACAGCTTTTTCTGCAACTGCTAACGCTAATGCAGTCTATAAAAAATGATTAATATTGATGAAATATTAAATGAAAATAATTAAAATTTCAGATTTATTATAGTGAAACAAAACTGGTTATATATGTACATCCAAAATTATAAAATACCAATATGTAACAATACAAATTTGAATGAGCATTAGCATAATTAAAATTATTATAATGTTGCCAAAGAAATAAAAACCTGTATAAATAAAATATGTGCTTCTTCTGCAGTATTAAATACAAATGCTTCTAAATCTTGACCACCATGTGCAAGTTCAAGAACAATATATAATTGATCATCATTAAATATTGATGGACAATCATTATCTGAGTGTTTCTCTTCATCATAGATATTCCATAATTCTAAAAGTTTTTCGGGATATTTCCCTTTTATACATTTAATATTTTTTACCTCTACAAATCCATCAGTATTATAATTTGTGTTGAATCTTAAACTATGTAATTCCCTAAAATTATTTGTGTTTAAATATCGTCATAATTAACATTCATTGTAACTAATAAAGAGTTATAATTACATTGCAATTACGATTTCCGATAATATTTCATGAAATTTTTTTTGTGGTTCTCCATTAACACAATCGTTACCTTCTATTGGAATAATTTTTATAACAGATTTTTTATTTTCCTGTTCATAAAGAAAAACTTCACCATATACTCCTTCTCCAATTTTTCGACAATGTTGCAAGTATCTAAACAAATTAATATAATATTGTTATTTAATAATTTGACTGTATATGTACATACTTACGAATCTGAAAAATATAATGAAAATGGTATATAATCTTTTTGTAAACATCTTTGTAAAATGACTTCTCTAGCTGTTGAAACTATATGTTCCTCAATAATTTGGTCATCAATATCATCACTTTGAATTTTGCATGTAGAAGATTTTTGAGGATCTAAATAAAGACATAAATAATTATAAAAACTTAATTGGAAATAAAAATAAAATAAAAATTTACTTACTATTTAATAATGTAAATCTTTGACTTTTAATAGGTACAATACCATAGACTTCAAGAAATGGTGCATCTTCGATAGATTTTACTGTTTTACAAATTGGAACAACACGAATTGATATTCTTCTTGAAACACGACTAAGATTAGTAGAATCATAAGTTTTTCCTTTGTTATTAATCAATTCATGATATGATTTGTTAGTTAATTCATTAGTTATTTGTAATTTTTTATCATTTTTTTTTATACAACTTTGTATAATTCCTATATATAATAAGATCAATTAATATTGTTATAACTTAAAAAAATATTTGTTTATGTTACATCTTTAAGACCTACCCATTTATCACATATTTACAAAGTAATATATCTTTTATCCATTATTTTTAATAAAAATACATGTTTAAAATGAAAATTTATTTGAAAACAATAAATTAAAAAAAATAAGTAATATATAAGAAAATGAATATAAAGTAAACCATGTATATTATATCATAAAAGAGTATTAAATTATTTCAGGTTAAGAAGATTAAAAATAAAATTTTGTTTTGTCAAATAAAAAAAACAACATTCAAATGTTTATATGATTATATATAGATTGCATTAAACTTTCTCCTTATTTCAATAAATTTAATATAAAATACAATTTAATTTTAATAAATTTAAAATCTCTAATTAAATAAAATATGTTTAAAACATATTTTTAGTCATTTTATTACCTTGTGTTTGCATATTTAAAATATCTTGTACACTATGTCTCCATTTTTTACCTTTGCCAACAGATAATTCATCCAAATTAAATTCAGTATGTACATTATTCAAAATTGATAAAGATCTTGCCCAGGACTTGCCTGGCTTTAAGTATATAGGATTTTTAATGTTTATACAGCCATTATTTGTAGATTCTTCCATTATATTTTCTAATACTGATAATTTCTTTTGTGATAACATTTGTCTACCATTGTTTGCTTTTTTAAAACGTACCTGATTTTCCCTTTGTTCCATATTATCATTACAATTTTCTGCAATAGCAACTAGATCAAGATCCCATTTAGTATATTTTTTTCTCTTTGTAACTCTAACAGGATCTTGTAATTGTTCTAATACTACATAGGATTGCAGTATATTATGTTTCATACAACTATTTTCAGGAGAATTTTTTGTATTTAATATGTTTTTACTATCTGACAAAATTTGACAAGATACATCATCCACTATTTCAGTGGTCTTATTACTTATTTCTTCAGTTTTTAATTCAATTGTTATATCAACAGATGAATCTGATGTTGTCAATTTAATTGGAATTAAAGTCTCAGGCAATTCTTCTATCTTATTAAATATTACTTCCTTATCATAATTTATGTTTAAAGTTGGCTTTTCATCTAATTTAATGAAGTCTGATAACATTTCATTAATTAATACTGTCCTTTTTTCATCTTCTGCTATATTACTATTACATTTTTTTTCTATATTATGTACTTTAGTATTATTTTCATTACTATCATCAAATAAAGAACATGATTTATTTGCATCAACAGAAAATCTTAAATAATGTTTACTTGTTTTTGTACTTGGAATCTTATGTTCTTGTGTTAATATTAATTTATTTATATCACTCTGTTTGATTCCACTTTTTGAATTATCTTGTACTAAATCTTCTTTTGTGAAGAATTCTTTCTGATTATAGTTGGCATTAGTATTACAACTAAGTTTTGTCAATAAATTAGAATATTTTTTATCTGTATTTTCTGATTTGTTTAAATTACACTTGCTTAAGTTAGATATGTTTGATAAAGAATTAAATAATGACTTAGATTTATCTTCAAGCTCATATCTTGCTACTTCATTTGATTTTTTGCACAAATCATCACTTACTAGTTCGGACCCTAAACAAGCTTCATTATTTCTATAAGGTAAAGCATTGTTTGCATATATATTAGAATCTCCTAATTTTTCAAAATGTTCAACAGAAATTGGCGATAAAGAAATTAAATGTGCAGAAGGTCTAATAGATCTACTATTAGGTGTGCTATTGAACACATTCTCATTTTTTTTGTTGAAGTTAAGTGGCTTTTTATATGAATCAATTTCTAATTGTTCTAGTTTAATAAAACAATGTTTCATATTTGTATTATTATGCTCTAAATTATCAATATTGATATCAGTATTTATATATTGGTTTGACAATTGGTGAGTTCCGTTCGATAAATTATTTTCTATTGCATTTGTATTCCATTTTGATATATTGGAATTACCCAAATTAACAAAACATGGTTTTACTTCCATGTCATTGGAAAATTTTACACTTGACATATTAGTACCTCTTTTCTTTTTTCCTACAAAAGGTTTCTTGTTGTAAACTTTTCTTTTGTCTTGATTATAATTTTTAATTTCCGAAATTTTTCTTTCATCATAAATAAAACTTAAACAATCAATATCAAAGTATTTGGATGAAATTTTGCTATTATTTCTCTTTTCACGTAACTTGTACTTATGAGAATTGTCCTTCTGCAACTATTTAATTATATATTTATATATATATACGTGTATATGTGTGTGCGTGTGCGTGTGTGTATCTATTGTTATTAATATACTTTTACTGTCTATATATTATTAACTTATAGTATAATTTTAATATAAATTTGATATTATCTTATGATACTAAACTTACTTTAAATTTTCCATTATTTTGAAATACAATCTTCTTTTTAATTGTCTTCTTAATAACTTTGACTTTTGACTTTCTGTGGTTCATTTTTCGTTTAGGAATTGGTTTTGCGTTGAAATCATCTACCTCGTGTAATGAAGATTTGTGATCATTGATAGTAGTTTTATCGTCTGAACTATTCAATAATATTGTATCATTATCAGCCTTATGTACTGGTGGTGGAATTCTATCAAAACAAAAACAATTCATTATTGTTGTGATAAAAGAAAATAATATTAAAATCTTTTACCTCATATTTTTAAAAAGTTTATCAAATGTTGTTTCAAAAGGATCATCAATCAAAGAATTATCAACTTCCTCTGTTTCGGTTCTATTTATATTTTTATTTGCTGGAACATGATTCTTGTTTTCATTGTTATCTGAAGATGGAATAACCAATTTCGGTATTGAAATTATTACTTCTTTCTTCCTTCCGTAAGTTCGAACAGGTTTAGCAAATTGAAACATTATGAACTCTTATTTATAATATCTTAGTCATTTCACAATACAAACGGTTTTCCCTCTTTGTCAAACAAGAACGAAAATTTCATATTTTCACCAAGAACAAAATATACTGTGAAGTGTTACCTATACAGTAATATTATGTTTATTAAAGTTTAAATTCAAAGTTAGATCAAAGAAAATAAAGCGGTTAGAGTAAAGAACACACTTTTTTTTTAAATTAAAGATGGCGCGATAATGTTATAGCATTAATTATACAGTATGCTAAAGATATGTAAATTAATGAACATGATCCATGATCTATGAACATAATTGAAAATGATTTATAAAATTAAGAATATAACATAATTAAATTAGTGTTATAAATTGAAATTACGAAAAGTTATATATATCAAAATTTTTTATATTATTTGAAGTTTATATTTCATAAATATTATTTGCATGTATATTATGTTGAATTACTAAATATAACATATTAGATAATATAAATCTATTAATAAACTAAATACTGATTTTTTCCTTAGCTGTACACTAGAAAATTTAGTTTGCATCCTTTCTATCTTTGTTCGGAATATAAAATACAAGGAGAGTGCAAGTCCTTCGAGTTACCGATTTAGTTGAAACTTTATAGGTTTATAGATTTCGTCATGCATTTTAAGAAAATATATCATTATAGCCGCAACTACTCAATAATTTTTGAGATATTTACGATTAAAGTTTTGATACTTCATTGATTTATTTTCACTAGTCTTATAACGGAGTCGTGGCCTAACGACAACAGTTGAAAAATCCTATGCTGGAGGACCGGGGTTTGATCCCATTCGCAATTTGTTAACTACTTTTTATTTTGTATTCATTTTTCACCTATGAAAACATTAAAGTAAATAAAATGTTTTAATAAAAAAATTTAATTCTTACGCTTTTTTATGCTAATATATATTTATTACAAAATAATAAGAATACTATGCAATAAAAACAATAATTTTCTATAGCAATCTTATTTACTCTAGAAAGAAAACAAAAATATAAATTAATTAATTAATTAATTATTAGATACAGGAAATACAAAACCTATCGCTCATGTAAGTATTAATTATTAAATTAAACCTTGTATAAGAATGTTACCTATAATTCCAACTTTACTGTACAGCTATAAATGTTCATGAATCAATTATAGAAACTTGAAAATTTATTAATTTTCTACTGCCGAATTGATTTATTAAGATATACTAGGAGCACATAACCAGAAGAGGTATCTAGTTCAAATAAAAATTTTGCCGCTTGCGATCAACGCCATCTATGATTTTGGACCATATGGTCAGAAAAGTAATAGGAACATAGAATAAGCGAGGAAGTTGTCAAAGAGCTCGGCACGTGACAAACAAGGATAGAAAGCGGTTAAAAAAGGATAAAAAAGTGCTCCGGCACTGAAGAATTAATAAATTACCAAATTTTCGTAATTAATTTATGAACTTTTATAATTGCATCGAAAAGCTGAAACTTTGAGCAACATTCTTAATTAATTTTTGCACAGAATTTTACGCTAATTAGTCAGTAATTAATAATTGTTTGACGGCGTCCATAATTTTGTAACGATGGCCGTCTCGATCTTGCGTGAAAATATTTAATAATGAGCGAAACTAGAAACAAAATGTGATCAAAAGTGATATGAGAAGATTCGCAAGAACATTGTCCTTATAATGCGTGCATGAAGTTTCATAAATTAATTGCATAAAGGATAGTAATTAATGAAAAACCAATGGCGTCTTCGACAACAATTCAAACACTGGATAGAATAATAATTAATAATTAATTAATTAGGGACAAATTTATATCGAAAAATATATTGAAAAGTTGTTTAAGGATCTGCCTTTACGACACAATTATAAAAGTTCATAAATTATTCACAGAAATCGAGTAATTAGTGAATTTTCCACGGTCGATTTGATTTATTAAAATATATTCAGAGCACATAACCAGTGTTAGTAAACTAACATCAGAGCCATCTATGATTTTAGACTCGAAGCTTGGGTTCCGCAACAAAAACACAGATGGCGCCATGATGCTGTCGAAGAGCTCCTAGTTCATTATGTCCATTATCACCAAATCCGATTTTCGAATCCAAAATAATAGATGGCGCTGATCGAATGTCGTTTGATTGGCTATCTTATTGAGGGAATCAGTGCGGTATTAAAACATTGTTTTAGGGGTATAAGGAGTTTATTTATTAACTGAATACGTACAATATGTCATATTTTGCTACACATTTTAGTCGACATTTTTGTTCATCCTTTTAATTTTAGCTATTAATTTTAACATTGTACCTTGAGTATTAATATTGTTATTTTAAACTGATATTTTTTAATGACGATATCTACAATCCTGCAAAGTTTCAATTGAATCGGTGACCCTAAGGACTTGCACTATCCTTGTACAACACATATATATACATACTGGTAAAAGAACTAATATGATCTAAAATGAAATGTTTAAGAATTTGAGTATCTGAAATATAATAAGTTTTATATTAATGCAAATACACAAAATATATATTGACTTTGAATATAAAAAATACTTATAAAAATTTCTTTTTCATATGTATAACTATACTGAAATATGAAATTAATAAAACGATAGAAACTGAAAATATATATAAAAAAATGTAAATTAAATATTGTTAATAATTTATCAAATAACTTGTTATTTATTTTTAAAATTGTTATTATTAAAATAATATTTTCCACAAATAATAAATATATATAATAATATTAAATCACATTAAATCATTAATTTATAACCAATTAGAGTATTATTTCATTCTATTTGTTTTATTGATCGAAGCGTTCAATTTTAGTAATATATTATATACTTATATTTATATTTATATTAAAATCAGATAAAAGAAAACACTCGATTACAATGAAAACTGTCGTAGTATGACTAATGTTAAATAGTAGCAAATTTTACAATGCTAATAACAGTAACGATATTCATTTAATGGTTAAAACGGTCACTGAAGAATAGAAAAAAATATTTTATAAATATGTTTTTAGTAGGTTTAACAGGTGGAATAGCTACCGGAAAAAGTAGTGTTGCTGCTGTTTTTAATGAATACGGCATACCTGTTATTGATGCTGATCAAATTGCACGCAAAGGTTAGACATAAAATGAAATTTTTTTATTTAATAATATGACATTTGGTGAAATAATTTTGTTATGAAGTGAGTTCGATATTTTTATATTTATTATTTTTTATTTGATGTTTGTGCGTGTGTGCATAAATGCGTCCGTGAACGTATTATTTATATCATTTTGTATATGTACATATACAAAAGTAAAAAGCATTTCATATATTTGTTTAATAATTTATACATTTTATATTATGTAGTTGTAGAACCTGGAAAATCAGTTTGGCATAAAGTACGGAAAGAATTTGGCCCAGAAATATTTTTAGATACAAATGAACTTGATAGAAAAAAACTTGGAGATATAATATTTAATGATGTAGAAAAACGAAAAAAATTAAATGCTATAATGCATCCAAACATATATAGAGAAATATATTGGCAAACACTCAAATATTTCATACAAGGTCATCAATTTATAGTCATGGATTTGCCATTACTTTTTGAAACAGGACATATGGTGAATTATTTGCACAAAATAATTGTTGTAACTTGGTAAGAGCCTTCATTTATTTAGAATTATAAGAATAAGAATTATAAATATAAAAATACTGATATGTACTCAATTTTAGCGAAGAAGATTTACAACTCCAACGACTTATGGAAAGAACAGGCTGTACAAAAGCTGAAGCAAAGCTAAGAATTGCTGCACAATTGCCATTGGAACGAAAAGTAGAAATGGCGAATTTTGTTATTGAAAATTCTGGTAGCAAAGATGATACCAAAAAACAAACTATTAAAATCATTAATGTTTTAAAAGCTTCTAAATTCCATTGGGAGTTACGTTTCCTTGTTGTATTTTGTTGTACCATTCTACTAGAAGGTGTATGTTGGTTAAAAAATAGAATTTTACGGTCTTTGCCAATTACAAAATAAAAGTTGTTCTGTTACAAATATTTTTAAATACAAATACTAAATTATATTGGAATTTTAATAATGCATTTATCAAATTTAGAAATTATTCTATTTGTATAAATTGATAAAGTACTTTAACAAAATGTGTAATGATTGCACATTTCAAACATATTTTAAAAATATAAATTATAATGGTGTTATTTATTAAAATTTCTTACACTTTTTATTGCAACTGATTGTTAAATGCTTTTATGATAATACAAAATATATATTATGCCCTTAATTCAAACACAAAACATATACATAAAATCGCGAAATATTGAAAATCATTCATTTGAAAATTAACATGAATTAAAATGTGTTATGTAAGTAAATAATTTAAAACTAAAGTATTTTTATTTTGAAATTCCTGAATTAGTAAAAGAATATATGATTAAAGTTTTATATATAAGAATTATTATATATGTCAACTTTTGACATATCCCATAATAATCTAAAGAACTTTGTAAACCTAAATTCATAGAAGTTGTGGGAAGAAATAAAGTAATATAACTGTGCAAACTTTAAAATGTTTAAACACAAATTTTGTAAATTATAAATGATAATTTAATTCGTAACAAGATGCATTTTTAATTATTTTGTAATTTTATAATTATTCACATACAAAATTTGTAAAATGTTAATACAAAAAAGGCATCATAAAAATTAAAAAATTCAATGTACGAAAAATTGTATCAATTAATTAAGTTTATATTCTAAAACTTTAAACACCAAAATATTCAATAAACAATATATATTTACGATTCCAGAAATCACTAACATTAATTATAAATGTTAATTAATATTTATATGGGGAATTATGCATTTCTATTTTCATATGGTGATTGTTAAAATATAAAATGAAGTTTAAATATAACGGAAAATAAAATGAAAAATACAAAACTATGTGAAATATCTCTTTGTAATTATGAAATGAAATGAAATTTTAAACAAAAGATGTCTTATTATAATAAACATATGAAACTTTAGTTATGTAAAGAATATGGCATGAGTGATTTCCTTTTTCAAGAATTTAAAGAAGATTTATCTTTTTAATGAAGTGCTTATTAACATAAAGTTATACATAAAAGATTATACATTTGTATGCATATATAAAATACACGAGTACTTATTGCTCAATTTCTTATACTAATTACGCAAAATATATACACATGTATCAGACCATGACTGATAACATGACTTGAAAACATGTTTATTTGGTTTACAGGATGCACATTACATGGTCGTGTACCTGATTTATATATTTATGGTTCAGGTTTAAATTCATTGTCTTTACTTTCCATCACCTGAACCCAAAACCACTTACTTAAGTAAGATTGTAGAAACACAAAAGACCACAATAAGTACTTATTTTATTAAAATATTACTATATTATAAGAATAGTTAACTTATTTGTTAAAGATGGAAGTATAAAAATTCTTTCTGAGAAAATGAGGAAGCAACAGAATACTATTTACAGCATTGCGTACAGAACAGTCGTAAGGTTCACCACCGTTTTTAAAGCAGCGGTAAACCTTAACTTTGAACTTTTAATATAATTCATTTACATGTTTCATCCTAGTTTTGTACTTATCTTAACATATTAGCCTAAATGAGGTCATTTATTACCTATATTTTTTTTAATTTACAATTTTTTTACTTGTGTCTGATTATACTTTTAATAATACAAAAAATTACCTAAAAAATTATTTGTATCTTCGTGATATTAAAAAAAAAAAGAATAGGAGAATATCATTCTTGACCATTTAATATGGTTTTAGGTCAGTATTCTTATTAATCTAAACCTATACACACTTTGGACATTTATCATATTGCGTATATTAACAAATTAATATAGTTGACATTTACCTTATGCACGGTAAATTATTGAAAGGAACGAAAATACTAAACTTAGTGAGCTATAACAAGGGCATTTCGTTTAAGTGATTCTGCTAAAAAACAGTCATGATCGTTACGTTTGTCCTGTACGATAATTTCTATGTGTTCCTACATAAATATCTAGGCTGTCGCGTTTTTTAATTAGTGTGATATTTCCAACATTGTATTTTTCTAAAAGAAAACATTCTTTTGACCGACTGCAGATATTTCCTCTATTTTTTTTTATTTTTTAGCATTTATCATTTATATTTGAAGAAATAGTAGAAATAAGGTATTATTTTGAAAGACTGAATGCAGAAGACAGCATCCTTGACTCGTCTATATGTTTGAGGTATTATTGGATGTTCTTTTCTCACTTATAATTCATTACTGCAACACAGGCCTAAGTTCTTGAGTCATAATAGGATACGAAACCAATGGCGCGGTAGCACCAGATATCGAAAGAGGTAAACTAGCAGGTTGTTGCGTATTAGGTGGCTGCTGATTACTTGGCTGTGGACCTGAACCACTCATTGTAATTGTTTGCTGAGCCATCGTAACGATAGGTGGCGGAATTGATACGGGTGCCATTGAAACCGCTGCAATAGAAACAGGTGCAACTGTGGCTATACTTACAGGAACAGTCGCAACACTTGCAGTGACTGTACGCAAAGTACCAGCAGCTACTGCTGCATTAACCATTTGTTGAGGTGTCGGCGCTTGCGATGGTGGAACGGTATTCGTAATAGTAACTGCTGGAACAGTAACTGCTGTTACATTTGCAGTTCGTTTCCCTGACATTCTTAACTGAGCATTTTGGTCCAAAAGAAACTCGTTAGTTGCTGTTAGATCGCTAACCTAAAGAAATAAAATATATAAATGCATAAATTACACGTATAAAATAGAAAAAAAAGAAGGAAAAAGAATTGTAACAATAAAAACAAGTCAAACTGACTTGCTTTTTTAATTCCTCTATTTTTTTCCTTAATAATGCATTTTCATCTTCTAAAACAATTGCTCTAGCTTCATTGCGCGGTATCACTGGATAGTAGTATCCTGGAGTGACAGGTTGCGCGGTATGTTGACCTACAAGTGGCGAAGCCTCAAAATGAACAACAGTTTCACCAGAAACTATTCGTCTCTTTGGTTCAGGGGGTCCTATGTAATCAGGTGGTTGTGAAGATGCATTGTAACCATTATTTGCGACTAAGTTGTGTTGATCTTCCATTTGCCAGTGAAAGCTACAACGATATATAACTATGTTATTAAACAGATATATCCTAAAAATATCTCGGGATATTTAAATTATATAAAATACAATAAGCATTTAACGAAAGCTTTACTAGTTTAAAAATAGCATCAGATAAAGAAAGGCGGAAAGAATTAAATATAAATTCAGCGAACTTACTTTCTATCCTCTTCGTATCTGCGATTCTCACCGTTACTAGTACCATTGAAGTTATGCTGCGGTCTGGACACATTGTGATGGGAAGCTGTGATTAAATTATGCTGTGGTTCCTCGTTCTTCCAATGCCTAAATTTACAATTTGTCCTTTGACAGCTGCCCTTGATAAAATCTTTGCACATCGGATATTCAGATTTCTCATTGTTATTCTTGAGCCTACTCAAGATATGAGCGGGTAACTCCCCTGTCGCTCTGAATCTCTTTTCTTCGCTTTCCGTGCAGTGAAGAAATTTGCATCCAGGCCAATTACACATGCCATTTTGAAAGTCATGACAAAACGTGTACTCCTCTATAGGATCGTCATCGGATCGTTCGTGTAAATACTTGCAACGTTTACCCCTGTGGCACACGTTTCGCAGGAAATCTCTGCACACGCGGGTGGGTGATGCATCTCCGCTTACGTTCGTTGCATCTGCTGTCTTACTCACTTGCCCACCTCTCGCGCTATCCGACTTTTTTTTCAGATTCTTCATCGATGATACATTGCGATTATACCCCGTAAGTAATCCTTAATCGATCGTTATTACTCACACGTTATACGTGTATGCTGTAATTACAAAACAGTTTATTATAACAAAGGAGATGATACATTACGTTGCTTCCGCATATCTACGTATTATTTTCTACTTTTCTATCACTGAAAATAAATATATGGAAATGACATCGAATGATACTGAAAATGAAATAACTCTTGTAACGTTAAATTATATGTAGCTATTCGTTACGGAAACATACAGAAATACAAGAGTTATTCTCGTGATCAACAAATACGAAATTCGTTCCATAAATATTCTAAGAGGACATCGTTTGTTATTATCGAATGTGCTGCGCTGGCATTTTTTTCGTATTCGCGTAATACAACTGACAAATGTATCGTAAAAAAAAAACCTCGGAAAATATCAAATACAGAGGGTAATATTTCTCTAGCTACGTAGAATCCCGTGTGTACTGTGCGTGTGCGCCCGCTTTCGTACAGCCAAAGTAATCTACTTTTACATATATATATGTACACATACGCATATACATACACGCAATATTCTAAAGAAACGCGAGCAAGTTGCCCAATTGTTTAATTATACACCAGCGAAAAATTGCACGATTAAAATGTTTATTGCGATTACATAATTACCCTCGTGACAGGGATATTTTTAATTCATATACAGTTATATTGAAAACAAAATTATATGACAAAAGCATTTTGCGAATATTACCATGATTTGATATTTAAAGACGTTATGGCCCAACGCATGTTCCAATTATAATTATACTTTGTACAATCTATAATTATTTTCCACAATATTAAATCATGATGTTAATTACAATAGGTAGGATTCGAGTGAAACACATGTAATACATATTTATATATTCATTTTCTGGCATTTGAATTTTGCGAAAATTCGTGTAATTATCCAACCAACTATCATTGTACAAAACAATCGATATTAACAGAGGTTTCTAGTGAAGAACAGTAAAGAGCATCAGTTAAGTTAAATTTTATTTTTTTTTTATATAATGACTATTACATGAGTCGTAAGATGTCAACAATGTTATGTACAATATTACCTTATTATTTATATAAACCTTCACGATCTTAAATATAACTTCAATCTACCAAGAAAGTAACACCCATAAAGCGCCAGGCCAATGTCCTTTTTTGGAAAATTGAATATACTTTATCATTCGCTTATACAATCGATTGTTATTCATTTTTTAATAGGGCAGAAATTGATCGGGCAATGGCACTGTAACTAAACTATTAGTGAATTAAGAAAATACGGTTAATTTTAGTTGCGTTCGTATAAAAAGAATAAATAGAAAAGTATAACTACAACTCTTTTTTTTTTTTATTTTTTGTTTTTTTTTTGTTTTTTTGTTTTTCTTTGTTAGAAACAGACACCTAGGCCATCATATCAGAAAAACCGTTAAATACACTGACGTGTTAAGAATCATAGTCAAAATTTCGCACTGAAGAATGATTTTTCTCTTAGAAATTATTAGGTCGTTCGAATCGATATGCTTCTATTGTCGTTCTACCAGCAAAAAAAAAAACAGAAAGAGAGAAAAAAAAAGAAAAGAGGAAAGAAAGAAACGAGGAGAAAAAGAGAGAAAAAGAGAAAAAACAGTAAGAAAGGAATAATAAGAAAAGTACATACAACGAAGTGGGACTACGAACAAAAGTGATTAATCTTCGTACTAAATAATGTTAACCATTATATATCAACAAATTATTTGTAAGTATGTACAAAAAAACAGTTATATATTAGAAAAATGACAGCTGTGACTAAAAATCAATTAATACTTAATATTAAGCAGTTCTTTTAAATCAACGAATTTATAATTAAGACATATACGTAACGCGGTTATTGATCGAAGGGTACGATAATTCGACTTCTTTTAGCTTAGTATTATTATTATTTTATTCCTTATAAAAATTCTTAACATTAAGAAATATCAAAGAAGTCGAATCGATTAATAGTTTACGCTTTGAACACAAGTAATCCCCAATTCGTTTAAATAAATATTGAGTATTTTAATTAGCACAGATTCGAAACTGTTAGTTCGACAAGAAATATTAAGGGAAGTTTATCAAGACGTAGGAAACATCGATGGGCATTTATACAAATTGATCTTTACATATAAACGTTATTTAGAATTTATGCAATGATACATTTAAGTCGGGTGCAGTGCTAGAACTGATCGTAAAAATAATAACGTTAAACGCGTGCATATCTGTAAATAGAGATTAATACCATTTTATTCAAGAGGATATGATATCGAGATTGGCAACATGTTGAACATTTTACATAGTATTGTCTATATTCTTTCTAATACATTTTTCCTAGTCTAAAATTTTGTTCTATGTACATATTTATTGCTACAAATCTCTGTTTAATTTGATTTTGGTTCCTTGTTTTTAAATGGTAACATGGTATACCTTTGCATTACTTTTGTAATTAGAACAGCTTTCTGAGATTGGTGCTTTAACAACAATATCGGAAAAATATATACAATTCTTTCTATTTTTGTCGGTATAAAAATGTTCAAATTTTTTTTTTAAACTACACATCACCCACTTTGTTATATTTCATTTATTCGAAAAATTTAACAAACGATATAAAAAAAAAAAGAAAAAAAAAAGAAACATAATAAAATAAAACAAAAAAAGAAAAGAAATTTTATTATTAATCAATAGTAAAAGTTATATACAAAAAAACAAAAATAGAAATATTAAAATATTTTTTGAAGCAATATCCATATCAATATGATTGCAATAGGTGCCACATAATGTATCGGTACGGTGTAAGTTGTATTTAACAAATCACCGCATTGTGCTTTAAGAGTTGTATATTTTTTTGAAAGTTCTGTTTTTTCTTCAACAAATGCATTGAACTTCTCCTTTAAAATAACTAACTCTTCATGGAGCTCTTGAATTCTTTGAGCTTCATTCTTGGCACGATAATACAGTTCTTTTAGTTTTTCAACAATTTCTTCATGAGGTTCACAAATTAACCAATCCTTGAGATTTTCTAACTCCTTCTTGATGGTTTGCTGTGATTCTAAATTGTCTTCAACCTTTAATGAATCTAAGGATCCAATCAAAGTCTGCAATACATATTCCCTTGCATGTATACTTTGTTGTACAGTATCATTTTTAGATAATGGTTTTAATGTTTTAATATAATCTCCTTCTAAATGTTCTTCACATTCTTCATCTAATTCACTGCTATCTTTGTCTGTTTTGTCTTTCTTTTCGTGTTGATCAATTTGCATAGAAACAGATTCAGTTGAACTGATCTTAACACTGTTCAAGCTGTCATTACTAATTTCTGCTTCTTCGCTATCTTTCACTTTTTGTAAAGCTTGAGAAGAATGGGAGTTCTCCATTTGTTTACCATTTTCATCACATACAAATCTAACTTCCATTTTATAAGGTACAAAAGTTTCTTCTGCTGCTTTATACACAGGTTCCTCTTTTTTAACTTCTATAACAGATTTTTCACTTGTATCATCACTGGTAATACTGCATGTATCATCTGTTGCATCTGAATTAACATCAGATTCTGAATTCATATCTGTATTATCTATATTTACATTCCCATTAACTAAAGTTTTTCGACACAGTGGTGGCAAAATAAATTCTCTTAAAATATCATTATTAGCCAAAGAATTTTTTAATTGATTTGAATCGATATCTTGTGAATTGATTTGATTATCTTGTTCATCTTTCATAGAATAAAAGTTGATTTCTGGATCAATGTCTACATTGTCAACATGAATGGAATTTAATTTATTCAGAATAATATTAATGGCCTCAATGGGATTTTCTTCATCTTTTGATTCTATAATGTCACTTGTTACTAATTTTGTATTCATATCTTGCAAGATTCGCATATAATTTCTGAGGGCAGTGATCTGCTTATAAATATTAACAGAATCTAATCTAGAATTAAGTAATCTTGTTTGTAAATTTTTCTCAATTTTAAATTGATCTTCAAGTCTTTTCAAAAGTTCTTGTTTCTCTTGCTCTGTACTTTGTACTATATCCTTTATTTTTTCCTCGCTCTCTTTCAGTTTATTTGTAGTTTCTTGTAGCTTTTTTTGTGCTTCTGTATATTTGCTACATAATTGTTGAAGTTCTAGTTGAGTATATTTTACTACATTATGAAGACTTTGACATTCTTCTTCTGTTTCATTTAAACGCCCTTCTAATTGAACTAATCTTTGACTTACCTCTAATTTCTCTTCTAATACTTTTTGTAATGCCTCTTTTGCTATCATTTGGTATTGTACTTTTTCTGTCTGAAATATTACCAATTCGTTTCTAATTTTATCTTCTGTATAATTTTTAGAATAAACAGCCAGTTGATTTTCCATACTTTCTACCCAAGACAATAACCGATCCTCTGTTATTAATGCTTTCCAAGATTGATTGGCAGCTCTCCGAGCATTTGTTACAAGTTGTTGAAGACATACTAATTTAGAATAAAGTGCTTTCTCACGTTCTGAAGCTTCTTGCATAATTTGATTCAGGTTGTACATATCCTCCAAAGAAATATTATTGAGTGGTAATGTGACTGACGTACTAAGACTAGCTTTAGCTTCTTTTCCATCTGGTAAATATAATTTCAATGTTGCAACTATACATCCATGCCTAATTTTCTTTGTACTTTCTATCACATCTACTCCAAATTGCACTATATCACCTGAACATACTTCTTTAGGTGTTGATTCTACTCCAGCTGTACTGAGTCTTTCATTATTAACAAATGTACCATTACTGCTACGAGTATCTTGTAAAAAAAATTTTCCACCTGAATACCATAATAATGCATGGTTTCTAGATAATACTTTACAATCAAAAATTGCATTATTTGGAGTGGCTCTAGCTCTTGCTACAGAACGGCCAACTTTAACAGCTTGCTCCAATGACAATGTACGTTCTTCAAAAGGATGAGAATTATCACGGCAAATTAAAATTCCTTTGGCTGTCATTTTGTTACTTTGTATGGAGTTTACTTTCAGGTTGGAATTCTGATTGGCAGGAAAACTGGCATTTTGTACCCACTTACCACTGGCTACAACCATAGCCGATATAAAATCCAAAGAATAATAAGTCTTTTTAAAAATAGTTCAAAACACGTATGAAAAACTTTATTTATTCACACATAACGAAGAAGGATGAGTTTGAAAATCGAAAGTCACGCGTTTTAATTTCATCGAACAACTCTACTATCGTGTCGGTTTGTCACGGAAGTTACTATTCACACCCAATCCTACAACTTGAACATGAGGATCATGCTTCGATCTTACAAATTTATCATAATAACCTTAAAGTCTATCATAATAACAAGTGACATACGAATTCACATGTTCCTGCGCTAAAAAAAAATTCCATTGCCATTCCATCGGTCTTGCGGTGTTCCTTTTTTATTTATCGTAAAATTTCTCGTACAAACGTTACAGTTACACTGTACTTATCAATTAATTGAATCCAGAATATTCTTTAGTTGCTTGAATAGTTGAACAAATGTTTCATCAAAAGATGATCAGATCAAATCTTCCGAACACATTGAGAATAGCTAAAAGATATGTTTCTTCGCGTAAGTAGCGGTGAGCGTACGCTTTCACACTTTCGTCCTTCGCACCAATTCCTTTGCACTTTGAAGTCTTCAACGATGCATTCAAGGAAGTTCATTGGAAAAGTGTAAAACACACAATGCGTAATCAACGCTACTCGAACATGATGAATCGAGTAATATTGTGATCAACTAGATAAAGACCAAAAATATTGTTCTCGAACTACTGCATTACTGTATTGAGATACAAGCGGTCCACGTTCCTTTAACTCAGTACTTTTCAGTTCCGCGTTTCGCTGTTTATCGACCGACGGCAGTATAGTCATCTATACGATTACAACGGTGTAGCAAATTCAAAGTAGATACTTGGGCGTGCTACATCGTAACAAGCATTAACGAGAGAGAAATGTAGCAAAAAGAAATGCTAAAAAGAAAAAGGCATTTATAACTGCAAAAAAAATTTCAGAATTAAAAGTTATAATATTTGTGTATATAAATCAATAAAACAGTGACACGCTATTAAAAATTAAGAATTTTCAACTTCTCATAAAAACCTATAATTACATTACTATATATAAATTTACGTACGATTTATAAAATTCACACAAATATAGAATTATTATTCGTGGAATGCTACGAACACCAAAACTTCTGAAGAAAACTGCTATTGAGATTTTTAGAAATCAATATTTTAAATAGAGTTAGTGAATCTCTTTAAATATATATGCCTCAAATATCCTTATGTGAAAACATATGAAGATCAATGTTTGTCAAATGGCTTATTGAACATGGCAACATTAAGAATATAACCTAAAAAAGTTTACGTAGTGGATTTTACAACTTTGGATACGGTTTATGAAAACTTTAATGAACAAAATACGTACTAATATTGTAACAATTAATTTTTATTGCGTAATTTTGGACTTTCTTATCACTGAAATGTGAAATAAAAAAATATAACATTATAATATGTAAATAATCGACATGTATGTAATGTTCAATTACCCATACACACAAATCTATATATAAATTTATTTTTTAAATAATTAATAGATATTTATAATTCTATTAGAATTTATGTTTCATATACAAATAGCTAAGAAATAATACCACACTTTGTACTTATAATAATAAAAGTAATTGTTATTAATTTTAATAACAATAAATAAATAAATAAATGAATAAAGATGTCAGATGAAGAAGATTATATGTCTGATAAATTTTTACAAGGAACTGCAAAATCTACTTCATCTAGTCTCATATATCGACATGCAGATAAAAGAGAACTTGAACTTATAAAAAAGAAAATTCAAATTGAAGCAAAATTAAAAGAAAAAAATGCCACGAAACATATTGAGGAAGAAAAAAGAGAAGCAGGATTATCCTCTGCTATTACAAGTTCCAATAAAGGTTTGTGTTTTATTTTTTTTTTAATATTTCAAGTTTAACATGATTAAACATACTATCATAATGCTTATATATAATTTTTTACATATTGTACAAACAATTTTGTTTACCTGTCTTTAGGTTTTGAATTACTTATGAAAATGGGATATAAACCTGGTCATGGCATAGGTAAAACAGAATCAGGAAGAACTGAACCAATTGGCCTTGAAGTAAAATTAGATAGGCAAGGTTTAGGAAAAGGAATTGTCAAAAAAAATAAAAAGATTGAAGGTAAATCATCTAATGATGAACTAAGTAACGAGAACTTCAAGAATTTTCGAGATAGACTTGTACAAAAAAGGACTGATCAATTGTTAAAAATGGACTTGTGCAAAAGTCAAAAAATTTGTGAACAATTAGATATGCAACAAAAAATAGAGAAACCTAGAGAAACATGGTTTTGGATGCCAGTTAATGAAACTGATAGTGATACTGAAGAAGACAATGAAGAAGACAATGAAGAAGACAATTCTTTGCCTATTGATGAAAAACTTGAAATTTTAACAAAGTATTTAAGAGCAAAATATTTTTATTGTATTTGGTGTGGTGTAGCATTTCAGGATGAAGATGATTTAAGAGATAATTGCCCAGGAAGTACAAGAAATGATCATTAATGAAATATTAATATGTATCAATTCAATTAAAACTGCATATAAATAAAACAAAATAACATCAAAATTTCAATAACATGGTTTTACTTACTTTACATTACTTATGGCAATTTCACTGCAAGACATAAAACATTCAGGATCTAAATAACATTGGTTATGTCCTTTTCTTATGGTCACCCACAGTGAATAGAGACATAAAAAACCCATTAGAGTCTTAATGCAAAATACTGAAAAAATATAGTCCCTATGCTAGAAAAAATCTAATAGTGCACAATGTAAAAGCAAGGGAAACTTATCCTGATTCAGCTATGCTATTATGTCTTAGCAGGAGTTCAGCACCCCCAAGTAACAACATGTTGGAGGGAAAAGCTACCTATAAAAGCATCTGTTTGATTTTCTGTTCTTTCATTTCAGTCAGAATCTTTGACCATAACTTTACCATATTAAAAATAGATTAAATAAAACGTAAAAAATATCAATTAAAGAAAATTTAAGTACAATGCTCATATTCACAATTTTCTTGGTATTAACTACATTAATATATACTAATGGTACAGTTGCTCAAGTAACAGATGATGAAAGTTGTGAAACATTGCAGTCAGAAATACATGTTACAAAGGGTATTACTTTCGATTTTAGTTTAATCAACTTTATATATAAATATATATAGAAAACAAAATATTTTTTTCTTATTTTAGATGAATATGATGAAATAGGTAGATTGAAAAGAACATGTAGCGGAGATGTATCTGTTACAAAATGTGAAGGATTTTGTAGTTCTCAAGTACAACCAAGTGTTGCAAGTACAACAGGATTTTCAAAGGTGAGAATACTGTTGTAACAAATAAAAGAATAAAGTTTGAATAAAGATAATGGAATAACAATTTTTTAATTTTTTGTTTCAATAGGAATGTTATTGTTGTCGTGAGAGTTATTTGAAAGAAAAACACATTACACTACACCACTGTTATGATGCAGATGGCATAAAATTAATAAATGAAGAAAATGGAGTAATGGAAATCAAGATACGAGAACCAGCAGAATGTAAATGCATTAAATGTGGTGATATATCTCGTTAAATATGAAAATGATTTATAAAAAGAATATTTAAATATATAAATTATGTAATAAGAATTACATGGCTTAAAATAAAAATATAAAATACATTAAAAATAATTTACTTCTCCTTTCCCTCATATATATACATTATGTTAAAAAGTACAAGCTATAAGCTATAATCATATTTCAGAAAGTATAAATACTACAGTACTAGAAGTAAATGTTTATTTTGCAATGAAATAAATTACATGTTAAAAATAATTAGTATATTCAAAATAAGATTGTTGGTTTTTATAATATACAATTATTTTTTTCATAACCAGAATGTAATAAAACCCAATGAATTTGTGATTCAAAATTTTTAAGTAGAATTTTACTTGTGAAGAAGATTGAGGTAAAATATTTAATATACATATTAATATACTTGAGATTATCAATAAGTAGAATTACAAATAAAATTAATGCTCATTACTAGAAAAATCAATATAATATAATAATTGATTTACTAATTTTTACTAATTTTTTTTAAATAAATATAATTACAAGATAAACAAATTTAAAAAGAAATAATAACATTATAGATGTTACCAGGAACACTAAATTTTAGAATTTATAGCAACAAAACATGTATCCGATATAAAATATAGAAGATGCTTTTTATGTTATTTAGAACAATAAAATATTAAGTTATTCTCAAACAACTATTATATTACGATAAAAAATAATATTTGAAATGTTATTAGAATAATTAGACAACTTAAAAACAATTATTAACTATTTGTACATATAATTATAGCTATAATATAATAATAATAATTAAAATAAACAGTATTATAATAATTAAATAAAACTATTATATTAAATAGAATTGATGAAGAACTGGTTACTAATTCATAGCCCTAAAATTTAAGTACACAATAATATTGTAAAAGTTATTCACAGTTAAAAAATTTTAATCATTATCAAATTATTGCATTATAAAATATAATCTTTATATCAATGCACATCATTATATTTGTAAATATTTAATGATAACTATAATAAATATAATAAAAAGATTAGTTTTTAATTTGTAAACATATCTTTTGTAATATTCAATGCAAATATATTATCTAATGAAAGTTGAAAATTAAAAATTTCTATATGCTTGATTTTTTCCTTGCTATTATTAACATATGCAGAAAAGGGAAGGGAGGAAATATGGCCACCCATAGAGTATAAAAGGATAGAATGTACAATGTACAAGCACAGTAAAGTATTAGATCTACGAGAAGAAGTATCGTGCTAACACTATGCTCTTTCACCATATTGGTAAATAAAGAATTACAATACCAAAATTCATGTTTAAATTAAAATTATGTAAATAAAATAAATAGCAAAAAAATATAAGTGTAATATTCATATAATTGTGTTACTTACTGTGTAGTAGGTGCCAGTGTATTGATATGTCTGCTAAGCGAAACAGCAAGAGCAATTATAGGTGTTGATGAATGTCAAGCAACACCCGTCATCCACTTTTTGCAATATCCAGGATGTGTCCCAAAACCAATTCCCAGTTATGCATGTAGAGGACGTTGCAGCAGTTACCTACAGGTAATAAATAAATAAATAATATAATATACGTAAATAGATTCAATTATTTCTGTCTTATTTCTATTAAAATAAATTCCTTCATTTTTTAACGACTATAAAACAAGATGGTCATTTTCTAAAAAATATTTATCTACTTTTTTACATTTTTATTAAGTACTGATTCAAAATAAATAAAAGAATATTATTTATAGTAATGTAGTTTTATAAATTTTACTGTATACTGTCACATAACTCTCATATAATTTTCACATAGAATGTATTATTAATATCGATAAAAAAATAATTTAAGTTTATGTAACTATTTAGTCATGAATTTTCTTCAAAATATTTATGATATTTTGATCTTGTATGAAATTATTTAATTTTGAGCAATAAGATGTACAAATTACTATATTCTTCATTCATAACTATAACATGCATGTAAAAAATACTTAGCAATATCTATTTTTCATGTTATTTATAATTTTTATAAACATTAATTTTATACTCATAGTTGTTGAATGCCATTGTATTTTTACACAACATTATCTCAAATATATATTTTACAGAAAATTATCGAATTCATGTATGTAAAAATCATTCATACCTGTTTCCACAGGTGTCCGGATCAAAAATTTGGCAAATGGAAAGGAGTTGTATGTGTTGTCAAGAAAGCGGCGAGAGAGAGGCCAGTGTATCCCTATTTTGTCCGAGAGCTAAGCCAGGCGAAAAAAAATTCCGAAAGGTTAGATACTGCTTTGAATTAATTACAAGATTTCGAACATTTTGAATAAATGTAAAACATTAATGAAGCGTCAACCAGTTAATCACTTGTACAATAAAATCGGGAACAAAACTTTTGACACCACGAGTTTCCCACAGCCATATTGTTTTCATCTAACCGATCAGTGGGAAGCGCATGAGAAAATGAATATCGCGCGTAATTTAAATTGAATTATTTTATAACAATCTTTTATAAACACAAAATTACATTTGTTTGTATATTTATAATTAGTAATATAAAAAAATATAATGAAACTATTTTTATTTAATAAAATTAAAATTAAAATAAACAAAATATATATATATAAACACACACATACACACACACGTGTACAGGTGTATGTATGCATATATAATTTTTCATATGAATTTATAGTTAATTATTTATTCACAGGTAATTACCAAAGCGCCTTTAGAATGTATGTGTAGACCGTGCACTAGTGTAGAAGAATATGCAATTATTCCCCAAGAGATAGCTGGATTTGCTGATGAAGGACCGTTTACAACCTCTGCACATTTCAGAAGATCTTCCGATTTGCAGTAATTTTTTCCTGAAACCTCATGTCATATTGGTATCAAGTAAAAAAGAATTAAAATAAAGAATAAGTTATAGATGAAGAATACTTTATTGCATATATACTATAGAAACATAAATAAATAGAAAAAGTAAAATGTTTAATTATCAAATGCTGTAGTTTAATAAAAAAAAACCTGCTTAATCTCTACTAAATAATCTTTACACATGTATTATTTATATTATTTTGGTATTTTCAAGTAAAAAAAAAAAGAATAAAAAGAATAAAAAAATAAAAAAGTATTGTGAAAGTTAATCAATGCTTGGTGGATATACATTAGAAGCCTTATTATTTTGTTATAAATAATTTCAGTTATATTACATACATATAAAATAACTACATTGTAATAAATATACAATATAGGATATTACGCGTTTAGTGTTTTTAAAAATGCGTATTTATGATACGTTACAATATGATTATAATTATTGCATCTTAATGTTATATTCATTACATTCTATTAAGTATACAATATCTACAAGTTTTAAATTTCATGTGCATCAGATATTAACTTTGAAATTTTAATAAAATTTACTCGAAATCGTGTGTATAATACATACATACACACACGCGCGACCACATACATACATACGCACACATACGTTTATATATGATGTACATATGTATGGATGTATATATGCATGTAAGTATATATGTACAATTCGTTTAGTCCTATATGTATTTTATTTAAGATTATGGAAACAATATTATACGAATAGTGTTACAAAAAAATATACAAATTACTGATTTAATTAATGATTTTTTTCGGCGTTGTGATCGATGCATGTAGACAGGCATATATTCGAGAAAATAACCAACAACAGTTTGACATGGAGTTCTTTTTTATTTTTTTTTTTTCCATATAGATATGATTTATCATAGAAGTGTATGTGTGTATTTGTGTATTGTGTTTGGAATTTTTAGTGATATTTTATTTATATTCTGTATATGTATATTAATGTAAACGTAAGCACACGCAAATATATGTATAAATAGCGATATACGTGCGTGTTCATACGTGAACTATCGGCACGATGCGTCGCATGCATGTGCAACATTTCCAGAGACAGCATAATAACAACGCTGTCTTCCTTCTAACCTTTGCAACCTGACCAATTCTCACTTACAATATTTACTTATTAAATATTTACAGCGATAATTCTTTTTAATTGTAATTCACTTATCGACATGTTTCCAACAACGTTTTTTTTTTTTCTTTTTTTAATCGTACATATATTATTGTAATTTTATTTATTTACTGTGTTTTGAGTGCATCTCATGTTTTATCCCGTCGAATGATACATTCTACCACTAGAGTAGAATGGAATCTTTCAAGGAGACAAATGTTATAAATCATTAATCCTTAGTTCATTCACAATCTTTCACACTTTTCTGTATTTCATGTAGGTATATCTTATTTTTACAGTGTGAAAAGAGCAATAGCGATGGTCGTACCTTTCTTTCATTTTCTCATCCGTCCTATTTTCTTCCTAGTTTTGCTTCATTTCTGTCTTGTTCAAAAAATATGCAGTTTTTAATACTTGTAAATTTTCTATTATATAATTGACTAAAATATAATTAAAGCATTTTTTAAATATTCTGTAATTAATTTTGAATTATCAAATATAAAATATGCATTTGGAATGCAAATAGATTGTATATACTAAGATTACATGATGTGACGAAGAAAATAAACATATAATCAAATTATCAAGAAATTGTGGCGATGAATTGTATATATTGTATAAAAATTTGAAGATAAAGTATGGATTTTCTATCATAAGCAAGAAAGACTATAATTTCGTAACACTGTATGTTGCATATGCGTATAAATACACGTTTACACATACATATGCATGTGTTTTATGCAAGCCGAATGCAATACATGGTAACTTTTCATTCCTTCAATAGCACAGAAAGTCCATAAAGAATATTAATGGCAAACATGGCTAGTATCTAGCAACCGAGTAACAACTCTAAATATCTCGGTATTAATTAGTAATTACAATTTCTTAAATAAAGAGTGTATATTTAACATGAGAAACATCAGACAAAAAATAATGCAAAGTTGCTTCCTAGAATTAAATGAAAATAATTTTTCATGACTGCACTCAAATTTCCTATTTCATTATATATATATATTCATTCATATATATAATAGTATATCCAAAAGAAATGTATTTTTCACACTGTACTTTAAATTAGTGTAATAATTTTATACAATTTGCTACGGCACCTGCCACCTGGATTCATGCAGACATTCCATTCCACGCACTATAATCTGCTTTTTCAATGTTCATAAATAACTAGTGTTAAAAAATAGTAGCGCCTTAATATGCACACCATTTGTATCCTTCCATTTCCTAATTTCAACATATACTACATTACGAACCATTGTTTCATAATGTTATGTTCCACTGTTCACTCTCATTCTTTTTTAATTACGAACGCATTTTCTTCTTCATACAGTTGAATACATTGTAAGTTCGCAAGATATAAATTAGTAATTCTGTTATACTTGTTATAATAATAGGAAGAACCGTCGCCCTTGCATCAGACTTAGTTATCAATAGTTTTCTTTCTGTGTATTTCTCAAATATAATTTACTTAAAATTGACCTACTTATACACACCTGTGATCTGTAATTTGCCATCTAGTCATACACAGCAAACACCGGCTGTTTTGCGAATGTCGTTTGGTGAAATTGAATGTAGCCTTTACGATTTTCCAATAGAAAGCGTAAAAGAAAAATTATATATATATCTCAAATTTATTGGGCGATTGATAAGCTGTAGTGACATTTTGCAAGATATAAGAAATACGATAATGTTCTCGAGTTTGTTTTTTTTTTTTGCTTTATTTAAACTTTAAACCATTTCAATGAATTATATATAATAATTATCTTGCATTTACTTTTGTATCATAATTAATAATTAATCTTTATCTTCATTATGTATAGCGGTTTCAGCCATTGTGTCCGTTTTTATATGACAACCTTCTTTATTATCTTTCACTTCTTGTTCTTCGACGTTTTTCTTTATAAAACTGCAATTTGATCTCACTTCGCGTAGTTTTTTTTTTTTTTTCTTTTTTTTAACGAGGGAACGTGTATTTAAGTCTTTTTAACAGACGATAATGTACTCAATCACGGCATCGTCAACAACGGTCTTGGCTCACGCTAGTTGATACGTCTTCTACACTGGAAGTATCATCAACTTCTTGTAAACCAGTGAAAAACGATGTTAACGCCATCGTCGCAACTCCATGCCATTCTCGTTGTGCTGGCTCAGGACTCTTTTTCCACGTTAGAAACGCGTCGCTTGAAATTATATTATATTCCGACAAATTTGTCATAATATTAAAGAGAATCCCTACGAAATATTTTTTATGAGAATATACAAAATTTTTTTATTGTAGATTAAGTTCATATTTTCGTATCTTACCGTGTGGATACTGTAAATTATGCAAATGAAGTTGAATTGCATAAAGACATTGTAATTCTAGAGATTCATTTGCATCGACGAAACGGCGAATTAATTGTTGCAAATTAGTAAAAATATCGTTTCGTAAACCCCACCTGTTGTTAGTTGGTTCTGAAAACAAACAAACAAAAAAAAAAATTATAATATAAAAATACAAAAAGAAGAATATGATAAAAATAACAAAACACACCCATGGACGTCTCTAAAATGGCAGTCGTTAATACTCGAATGAATTCAGGCTCCTTGACTCGATTACCCACATTTACCTATTAATAATTAATGCATTTAGTACGTAAATTGTTTGCTATTTTTTAAGTACTGTTTTTTAATACTTACAATTATCCAACCACAAATTACATCGAAACTACTTTCTTTCATGAGTCTCCTAAGTTCTTCATGAATTTGCTGTAATGTGGGCTGATTACTAGTTGAGCTTTTGGCACTATTGTAATCACCAGTGCAGAACTCCAAGTTCTATGAGTAATATTATTCTTAGCTATCATTATTTAAAAGTTAAATATTTATTAATTTTAACGTCAACTTACATAATCTTTAATGATTTTATCAACTTTTTCAAGTTCTGTATCAATGACATTGCTCAACTGAAATTCTGTTTGGTCCCATTTATCTGCAACCCACTTAGGTCCTTTACTTCGGGATAATTTCGATAAGAGTTCGCCAAGGAGTTTGCCTACATATCCTCGACTCCTTAAGCTATCAAATATAGGTTTCAATTCAGTTAGAGGAATTATTTCCTCTTCTATTGGATATGCTGCAAAAGGAAAAAGCATGGTGATACTAATTTTCTTTTGATAATACAAATAAAATTTTATATCATTACTCTCAGGCCTGTTGAGCAAAAATTCCCGCATGGAAACTCTATGGTGAAGAATAATCATCATAATTGATTGTTGTTTTTTTTAATATAAGAAATTTTAAAATTATTTACTTACATAGTATCTCTGCTAGATATGACCAAACTTTAGGTATATCGAGTACAAGATCATCAACTAGTTCCAATATTTCAATGAATCTAAAAAATTAATTGTAATTAGTTTTATCGAAAAAAAAACATCTTCATATACCTTTTTATACCGAGCATATTTTTTATTCAGTATCCTTTTAGCTTTAAATTTGTTATGTCAACACATGTTCTCTGTACACAGATTTCATCATCTTTCTCTTTCTTACAGAAACTATTGCCATATAATATGAAATAATATTGCGTATACAGATGTGTTCTGGAAATTAGCCGACCACTATCCTTACCAGTTTTTGTAACTGGCTTTGTGAGACGAACACTTATCTAAGATATACAAACACGTATACCTAAGTATGCCTATTACAAGAAATTAATATCTCCTATCGCACATTTCAATTTTATTTCCATTCAATGACGGAAAATGACATTCGAAATTTCTTTAAGAGCTATTGACCAAGATTTCTTCAGCGAATTTCCAAAGCACTGTTGTATACAGAAACAATTACAGAATAACTTACCCATTTCTGAAATGATGTATAGGTAAAATTTTTTGAGTGATTAAATGCGACAAAAGATACGATATGCGTTCTCTTTCAACAGGTGATTTTTCAAGAACGAAGTTGATCAATTCACGCATGAATTTTGTTAATGCGTTATCGAAGTTCTGTTGAATAGCCAACGAAATTTTCTATAAAATAAAGAGTTCTGATGAAATGATTCATATTTAAATAAGTTTCATTCTATCAAAATACATTTCTTTTTAAATAAAATAATATGTCCTCTCGTTGATTTTATAAACAATGATTTATATAAATATAGCAGTAGACTAATTTATAACGCTGTTTAAAAAGATCAAAAAGAAGGTATTGCATAATTTAGCACACTAATGACTCAAGCACCTCCTAGTAAAAAGCAGAGATGGATCTAAGGAGTGTGCAAGTATTACTAATTGTGTAAAAACATTCATTTATCTCTGGACATGAAATATATCAATAATTATGATATAATCAATGAATTAAGAATAAAACAAATCAATTAATATCAATGCTTGTAATATAGTAAAAACTTACCTCAAGGCTAGAATTTTTTAAATATTCTTTCATTATCTTGTGTAATGTTTTCATAAATTCTTCGTCTGTCATCGGAGGTTTATGACTGCTAGAGGTAGATTGCGAGGACTTTAATGATGATGGCGGCATAGAAACGCTTTGACTTTGTGAACTATCTAATAAAGAGCTTTCTCTACTTGACGAAGAACTGCTTAATTGATGACTACCACTGCGTGAGCTCCTACCATCTGTAATAATGAAAATATAAAATTTCTTTTCATACCAATAATATGAATATACTGAATAAGATATATTCTTAGAAGTATCAGAATCCTTTTGGCTAACAACATTAAGTTCTACTTTTCAAAAATAAAAAATTTATCATCATGTTTTATAATTTTTTGTTTAAAGCATTAATATTATTTAAGTTATAAAAGACATACCATAGGAAGGTTTGTAGTCACGACCATACTCTCTAGGACCAGTAGATCTTGATCTAAAGCAAACAAATTTATAATGATAAATATTTGAATTATTCCAAATATTTTATACGTCATTATAAAAAAATAATCAGGATAATTTAAAAATCATATAATATATCAGAAACTCTAGCCTAGCAAAATCTATAATTCATCATTATTTCACTATATTTTTATATAGAAATAATATTTAATCACAGAGAAGCTTACCCAGAGAATTGTGGAGATGTCATTCGTTTCTCTTGTTCTGAAGTCGATACATTTTCTAAGCATGCAAATTTATTCGAATTTATCGCCTTTGAACTACAACTCAAAGGCGTTTTCCACATATACATATTTCTGCTTCCTAATTGCAGATCATCCATTGGAGGCTAATATAATAATAATGAAATTTAATAAATGTTATACAAATTTTAGTGACATAAAAATGCTTACAGGTTTATTTTTAAGCTTGGCTGTCTCAACAGAATATGGGTGTCTTGTTCTTACAATAGGCTGACTCCAACCACTGTCATCAGTTGGACCAACACCACCTATTATATTATAAAGCATTATCATTTGAATAGTGTATATACTTATTTGTAAAAAGTATAGCAATGTGTATAATTAAAGTAAAATAAAGGTCATCAGAATACACTATACAATCACTCCTGTCAGAAACTCTAGTCTGGCAAAAATTGTGTAAAATCATCATGTTGCTAGACTAACGAAGCACATCATTTAAAAAATACCAGTTTATAATTTTACATTTATGATATTTTTGATATTATAGTATTAATTATTAATTTAAATATTATGTTAGTTTAATACTTACGATTTCGTTTTCTGTCACTAGTACGTTCATCTTTTCGGGGTGTATTCAAAGGAGTGTTACTTAATTGACTATCTAATCTCTCAGACTCTGCTTCTTTTTGAATTTGATCTATTGTTTTAGGATTACTCTCATCTCGTCTTGGAATCCAGTTATTTGCTCTCAAATCAATAACGTCTTGCAGCATAAAACGTATTCTGGAGCTGATTTTTCCATGACCTCGTCGTGCAACATCTTGCATTTTATTGAAATAATCTTGCATTTCCTAATAAAGTGAAAAAAATAATCCAAAACTCAATTTCTAATAATAAATTATTTTTTCTGTTTGTTTCAGAAGCAAACTGAATTTTTCTTATTAACTGAAAGATAAAAACTTACTTCTAGAGATACCCTGCTTTCTAAATCTTTTCCAACTGTTGTTAATAGTTTGCATAAACATTCGAGACTATCTTCATCATTTTGAATTAACAATTCAGTTATACAACGATGCATGATTTTAGTTGTTAACATTCCTTGTTTGTATAATTCACCAATAAATCTGCAAAATAAAAAGTAAAAAGATATAAAAAAATAAAAACAAAAATATGGCAATAAGGATAGCAATAAAAATAAAGCATATAAATTCAAAACCTTATATACTTTTCAAATATAATTACAAGTTTTATGTTATGCTTATAATATTTACCGTATATTTCCCACTGATTTTATTCGCGTTTTACGTTCTTCGTCTTCAAACGATAACTGCAAAACATTTAACTAAGTAATAATATAAAAAGTGTATTTATGAACTTACAGGATCAGTACACTCATCTATTTCTTTAAGCTTACTCGTTCTTGTCACTTCATTCACTGGATTTCTTTCAAATTCTTTTTGACAACGATTAATAATAAGTTTCTTGAAACTAAATGAATATTCTTGATTCTCTGAATTTTTGTCTAAACCTGAGACTTCCATCACAGCAAGTTCTTTACACATGAGTGCATATGCTACAGAGAAGCTTGGTTCATCAACAGCCTAAAAGTCAAATAATTAAATTATATGCAAATAATAACTATATGGCTATTATAGATACTATTAAACATGTGAATCTACCTTCTCAAAGACTAAATTGATAACGCCCATCAGTCGTTCTGGAGTATCGACAGTTAACGCACGTACTTGATCGACTAAGGTATTAAATTTCTGGGGTGTGAGCTTATTTAATACACTTCTAACTCTTTTATAAAGAGCTTCTGTTTTTGTTTCTTCTTCACTAAGATTTAAAGTTTTTAATCTCGTTGGTCTCCATGCATTTTCAGTTTCCCTTAACTTTACATCTTCTCTAAGGGATAAAGACATGTGAATAGCATTTGGCTTCGTTGGCTTTGACGATTTCCCTGAATGGCTCTTATTACGATGCAATTGTGGCTAAATAAAGATAAATTGTATTAAGATGCAAACATTCACAAGGACCTGATATAAAATAAAATGCAAATATCAGAAGAAAAATTCTCAGTCAACATATTTCAGATCACTACTTTTATCTTTAACGCATCATTCGTTAACCATTCCAAAAATGATGTAATTTACATATTTTTATTCTTTCGACTTACCGCTCGTACATTTATAACCGGTTTTATGAATCCAGGAAATAGAGCGTCGTTTTGCGTCGTGTCTATTCAAATCTTTATATTGCCTAAGATCGCCAAACGTCCTTGCCTATAAGAATTATTATTTATATTGCAACCTATATATTAATGGTAATAATAACAAATAAAAATTATCATTTTTGCATAATACCTTTAAACCCTCTTTCAAAACAATATCTATATCTGGTAAATTTGACGGTTTGATTTTGCTGTTGGGATCGTCCTGTAGTTTTATTAAAAACTCTCGGTCATAAACCTTTTTACCGCTTTTATTAATAGGACTCCATTGATCGTCTTTATATTTATACTTGAGTTGTATCTGATTCGTACTCGGTGTGGTTTCAGTTTGAACTGGAAGTTCGTTTTCGGCTGATTTTTCGATAACCGGAGATGTTTGCAACTTCTCTTCATTGAGTGTTCGAATCGCCGAAATCTTCGAGTTCTCTTCATTCTTTTGTGCTACTATTGCTTCTACGTCGGACTCTTCTTTAACTTTCACATGATCAACAACGTCATTAGGAACTGATTTTGTTTGTATATTACATACATTCGATTTATTACTATCCTCTATTTTAGGGGAAGATTCCTTTACAGTTTCTTTGTTGCTTGACAATTTTTCTATAGCAGATGCTTGTATGAGAATACTTTCTTTCGCGATTTCTGGTGTCACAGGAGTTACTTGCTTTTCCGCCTTTGTATGAACGGTTGCAACTTCCTTCTCTTTTTTCGATTCATTACTATCTTTTTCTTTATTATCTTTCGTAATCACGCGATTTACTTCTTTATTGCTGTCCTTTGGTGTTAAAGGATCTTTATTATCCTGTTTTATTTCAGGTTTCGCCGGAGGTACGGTGTTTACGAAAGCATCCATATCTGTACCTTCTTTCTCCGCTCCTTTTCGGTTAAGTTCACGGGGTTTGAGCTTGTTTTTACTCTTTTGTTTCTGCATGGCTTTACCTGTCAAATAAAGAAGACATAGAGATGTAATTGAAGTTAATGCAAGTACTAAAGTAAAACCTTTTCATATGGTAAAACATTTTAACGAATAAGTGTACATTTATTTGCGTGATCTGTGAATCATAAGTGGTCATATAAAAGTATTATTACGTTGATATCATTACAGAGAGATGTAGCTGTGAAGAAAAGTGAGTATTTCGGCCACAAGCCAAAGATAATTATAGTCTCAGATCACAGTACATTTCGTAGTGTGACATTTAACCTTTTTCATTAATGTATACACAAATTTATGATCATTAGAATTATAAATTGCTTGCAAAATTTTTACTTGCGTATTTCGTCTTACTATATTGTTACAAAAAAAGAGAAACAAAAAAAAAAAAACATGATTTATAACTCTCGTACCGAGATTGAAAAGAGATCTATTTACTTTTAGAAGGATTAAATATATTCCAGGATACAATATCTTTTATATGAATAATTCAATGGTCGATTTCGATACAACAAAATTTCATTATATAAGATAGTTAAAATAGTTTCTCGCAAATCAATCTATCATAGGATTAATTTAAAATCATGCAATTCCCAGAAACAAAAACAAAAAGCTATACGAATGTCTCAACAATTATATTATCAAATACGCTAATCATTTATTGTTAAAAGTTTAAAACTAAGTAATAAATGATCTATTCCTTTAATATCTCTCAAATATACATTCGAAAGAAAAGTAAAAAAAATCGATATGAAAGTAATCATTGTCTCGTTTAACATGTGTTACCACACATCACTTGACGTTTTCAACGAATATACAATGGTATATATACCATGATCTCTGGACCCCCGACGATTACGACTTCTTGATCGGGAACTATTGCTCACACGAGCGTTACCATTCATTTTACGGTCACTCATTTTCACGGTTATCAATAATCGTACACGCACTGTTTAAGCCACGTTGTGCCTGTCCTTTCCATATCAGAAGCATATTCTGTATTACAGTTCACATTCTTACAACATAAAACTCTTTGTGCGGCTCGAGTTTCAACAGCTTGTGTGGTACTGCTGCACTGAATCAGTATTTATTTATAAATCTGCCAAAAGCTTGCCAAAACTAGGGTAGATGGATTCACGTTCACACGCGCAACAATATGCAACCACGAAGTATACATTTTAAAATATTCTTCTTCTTCTAACAATATGTGAGTGAATGAGTGAGACAGAGAGGGATGGGGAGGAGAGCATGGAAGAAAATCGAGTTTATATTATAGAAGTAACAAAATTCACGCCAATAACGGCTAAATAGCACAGGAGCCAACGTTTTAAATGAAAAAGATGTCCGCGTCGAAGTTTTTTAGCACATTTCACTTAAAAACTGTGGCAACACTTCAAAAATTCCTTTGGTAGTTCTTCTTGCAAGACTTTCACGTATCTATTTTAACCTGTGAACTGGTGCAAACCGACAGGCACGACACAGGATTTCTTAAATTAGTTCTGTTCGCCGGTTGCGCGCCGGAGCAGGCGCACTAGTGACTTTCTTGATAACCTAACCCAGCGACGCCCAATCTATGATACGCGTTACCACCTACGGTATGTTGAATATTCCCCCAGATGGTGACGTGCGAACTGATTTAGTCGAAATGTATCGAAAGTAGAATCTGTACACACTCTCCCAGATTAAATATATTTATAACAAAAATTCATAAATTTATCAGTATAAACAGACAATAGACAAATTCGGATACAAAATTGATACTCAAATAATTATGTTAATATTCTGTGTCCAATTACTTTTCGAACTTTTTAAAACAGCCATGGCAGCAGAAATGAAATTATTTACTATGCTTCAACTGTACATTTTAATAACTTAAGCGTAACAAAGGAATATCGTGAAATGTATCAAATATACTTCAGCCACTTTTAAATTTCTAATTTGTATAAAAAATAATATACCATAAGATTAAACAAATAAGACTTTTCCCTCTATATTATATAAAGTGAAAAAAGGAAAAGAACAATATTTATTTTGTTACCTTCAAACAATTATATAAAATTATTTCTACATGTTATTCTTTACAAGCAAATTCTAAAGTAATGTATTTTGTTATAAGACAGCAGCTAATTTGATGCATGAAAGTAGCTTGAGTAAGATTTTATAAAAGCAGGTCAAGGTAACAATCTAAAAAGAAGAATGAATAATCGTCAACGATATACGTAACATTTTTCAATTTCGTTGTATTTTAAACTATTCAAATCTGACACATTCGATTAATATAAACATAGTTTGAATTGTATTTGTTTGGAGATATGCGAAGTAATGGATACTGAAAAGGAACATAAAATTAATCGTAACATATGCTTTCCAATTTATGCAAGTGATGATTAAAGTTGGCAACTGGACAATTAGTTGTTATTAAACTACTTCGATATATCAACAATTTCGTTAATAGTTTTTCTTAAAAAAAAAAAAAAAAAAAAAAAAAATATTTTCAACATTTCAAAAGGGATTTATTGTTCTTTTTTGTTCGTGGTTTAAAGTCACATCAACCACTGTGAGGGTTTTTACTTTAGAGTCTATTGTATATAGTTAAGCCTGTTTTAGCTAATGTAGCACGTTCTGAATTGTTTTACTCTCCTTCAAGATGTTTTCTAGAGGGACTTTTACAGTATGTTGTATTATTATAGTGAATAGTAATTTTTGTATTGATATAATTAGAAGAAATTATTAGTTTATAAGCTATGGTTAATTCACAAAAGTATATCATATTGTACTAATTTATCAAATTTTATTGTATAGAATGTATATACAATTCAAACTACCATTTTTCTAACCAATGAGAACCTTTCACCCGATTGGAGAATGCTCAAGGTTGCCACTGACGCCGAAAGTCTTAAGATATTTTTTGCACACGCACGACGCGTGCTCTTGTGAAACGGCATTAAGAGACCTTCAAATCATGCACGTAACTCACTATACATGCGTGACCGTGACCCCATGCATTTTAATCATCAAATAATGATACAATTTTTTGTTACAATATATAAAAAATTCGGTTGCATGTCACTTCAAAGTAAGAAACAGAAAATTGTTCATAAGCTAAAATAAATAATGAAAGTCATTGATGAATCGGTAGAGCATTTGTATCAATTTAACCCTTTGTTTCTAAACTTACTCGAATATTTCAAGAATTTAAGTGTCAATGATGGCACTCCCACCCACTAACAATATGTTCCTTGTGGCCCTATCTACTTCTAGACAACCAAATGTGTTTATTCCGTTTTCTATACTCCTTCTACTAAACAGTTTGCATAATAATGAATTTTTTAATTCTGCTTACAAAAATATACAAATAATTTAGTTAATTATTAGATATTTATGAAAATACAAATTTTTTCTTTTATGTAATATATACTTTGAAGAGACCTATTTTCCTCTCCTTTTATTAAATACAATGCAATTAGTAACGTGCAATATGTTAAAAAATAAAGAAATATTTGTTCAATAGATAAAAATGTTGAACAGAAAGAAACTAACAAATTCAACAATTAATGGTTTCTGTTATCACACTGTCTAGAAACTGACGATCAAATATGGAGTACCTCTCTTTTGTGACCACTTACAAAATGGCTACATGCTCATACATAGGAAACCTAAAACTATTACAGAATAATGCTTGCAACTTTTAAAGTATAAGTATTGTATTAAAAAATGAATAATAAATGGAAATCATAAACTTCGTATCTCAAGTTAAGTAACAAACACAAAATATTTAAATAACAAATCGTTTCAGCTACACGTGATTAAAGCATGATGCAGGACATTTAATTTCGAATCTAGACTACAATGGTTATTGTAAAATAACTAAATATTTCAGTTCTTATTTTTTTAAACATCCTTATTAACTTTTAAACTTATTAAATATTCACGGTTCAAACAAAAAAATATACTCCATATATGTATGCCTGGTGAGGTCAAAAGCAGCCATATTTGAACACAATTCTAGCACAACTCTTGTAATATATTCCTAGATTTAAAATCTATTTTTCTCTAAGGAATAAAAATATTTTGGGAGAAAAATACTGAAAATGTTAATTAATTACAAATGTTCAATTTAGTAGGTTGATGAATACTAGTATTATAATGAAGTTCACATTTGGTGAAGTCTGAATACAAAATGTCGGAACCACGTTGCGAGAAGCAGATGTATTATTGCATTTATATCCGTTAAAGATAAATCGCTTCAAGGTAACAAAATATTTTATACATACATTTTGAATTAAGATAGTCCGCTGCCGACGTCGTTGCATCCACTTGATCACTTTGTCACAGTAACAATAATTTAAAAAGATATAAAAAAAAAATTACAGTAAGACCTTTATCCTTTAAAGCCGGTACAGAAGACTTCGAAGTTAAAGATAGACTTCGATATAAAGATTTTATAAATGAAAAAAAGAACGATGCGTGTAAAGGGCGCTCGTTACAATTAAATAAAAAATATGTACAAATTCTACCAAATATCGCAAGATTAAAAAAACCTTATAGGAACAGGATGCAGTAAGACGCGATATATTAAGCGTATTCGTTACGTTGTGATGTATACAAGTTAAAAAAAATGAGTAACTAAGTAATATGAATGTAAATATATATATACTTATATATAACTATGACTGTACAATTGTTTAAAAAATAATTATAAAAGGAAAAGGGAAATGATTAAACGGAAAAAAAAATACGCCCGGCTAGCACAGCACATGCTGGCTACTGGAAGACCTCCGTTGTTCGATGAGGAAAGAAGTCGAGAATCTCCCTCCAGCAACACGATCGCCAACGTTCGTGAACCTTCGGTACGTTTCGCGCCTTTTCGTCGTATGATGATGTCACCGTTTGGCACAAAGCTCCTCTCGGAGTTCTATGCCTTGCGTTTCAATCATTGGAAAAAGACCCATTCACATTAAACACGCATTCCAATAGATTATACGATATATGATTTATTTTTAATATAATCATAATATCCATTAATATGAAAAATATTCGAAATAAAGAATCAAAATTAGAACTTGTGCAACGTGATTCAGTTGGAAGAATGAATTTAGTTCAATGTGATTAAGAAAAAAATTTCAATTTAACGGACATTCTATCTGTCTTGACCACATCCTGTCCTTATTCGAAATATCTAAAATGTATTTTTCTCCCAATACATAAATTCATCTTTAACAATATTATAAATTTAATATATAGCAAATGCATACAAAAATGTTTCAATTATTTTTATACGAATAAATGCAAACTTACCCTTCTTTCTATTCCCCATTTTAAAAAATGGCTGTAGTATAACTAATTTGAAATATCTGCACTTTTATTTCACTTCACAATATATTAGTAATATTAATGTCTTACAGTAAAATCATTTAAAATATTAATAATTTTTACTTTTATCATTATCACGATCGAAACATTTTTGTCTTTGAGAAATTTTAGTTTATTAATAAATAATGAAATGTTTCGTTGTATTAATTACAAATCTAAGATCTACACTTTAAATGACGTTCTTTTCATTTATTTGAATGTTCAGATATTGTTTAATATTAACAGTATGATTACTTAGGTGTCATGTATGTTATTAAAGTTATATTACTTTGTATACTATTTTTGTAAACGTTTAATATTTTATGAATGTTTTGAATAAATACGGATTTGTTTATTAATATACATTTTCCGTAATTCAATATACACTGAGATGAATATGACGTTGAAATTCATGAATCAACACATCATTTAGAACAAAACTTGCGTCACAACTGCGAAATTTCGTGAATATAGTAGACATTACCAAACTTTTAGGTTAGAATTAAAGCAAGTCTGTAACATCACAAAAATACCTAGCAATCGTTGTTATTAATAATATTTCAAATGAGTAAACTACACCAAATTTCGTCCATAAAAACTTTGTATTATATAAAAAAAGAATTTTGAAATATTTAGATCTATTTACACGTGTATAACTTCAAGATACGTTTTCCTTTATATACTCATACACACGTGCCTATATAAAGGCACCTTCGCGGATGAACACACTATATATCGTTTTTAATAACTTTGAAAACGACACAAATATCCGAAACACACATAAAAAATACATTAACTAAATTAATAGCTCATAATTATTTATATGTAAACTTATGAACAATGATGACTATTGAAGCTATCGCGAAAGCAAAGTTCAAATTACTGTGATATGAGAAATGAGAAGGGAAGCTATCGGAAACCTAACCTATATCTACAGTTTTTGGATATGAAAATATTTTAATCCTACCAAAAAAAAAAAAAAAATTAATAGCAATCTTTAAATGTACGATACAGATAAAATATCAACGATAATTAATAATATTATATATTCAATAAAATTTTCTATACAAAGATGAATTAATTGCTAAAGAAAGAGAAACTGGAGCATATGTTCATGTTGCAAATACTTATAATAAACGTTAGACATAAAGAAAAAAGAAATAAAAGAATATTTTTAGTAAAATATTATTAAAAATTTTAATATAAACTTAAAAGTCATAATATTTTATGAATTTTTAAAAATTAAATTGCAAGTGTAGTACATGTTCATATTGCAGTACACATGAAAGAAACTAATAATTCTATTTTTTTCTTTAAAGTACAAGAGCATAGGTATAGAGATATATATAATCATATTAAAATGATTGTATCTACAAATTACACAACAAAAATATTTAACTGTTTTTTAAAAAAAATAGCAGTGTGTAAATTATAAAAAGTACTCTTTGCACTTTTGAAGAAATCTGTTATCATAAACTTAAATTTTCTAAATGAATGTTTAAAATATAATCATAATAGTAATAAAAAGTAAATTTTTAAAGATTTACTGTATTTTTTGTACTAATACTTTTCTACATATTACTTTCATATTAGCTGTTGATTAAGAACTCCTTTTTATAAAATTACTATTAGATATGATCAATAAAATTGAAATAAAATACATACATATTATTTGAATATTGTGAAAGAATAGAGAAATAACACGGTATAAAAACAAATAAAATATTGTTAATTTAGAAAAACTTACCATCAGATGATTTTTGCTGCTGGACTTCAGTTCGTGCAGGTTCAGATTCCGGTTTATCACCAGTCGCATCACCATTGGCTTTCAGATGATGATCTGTTTGATTATGAGCAGGTGTAGGAGTAGTGCCTCTAGAACTAAGACTCTTTTCCCTTGTCTTTTTTTCTTTCTGTTCTTTGGCACTCGAAGGCAATTCAGTTGCAGTAGTAGAAGCAACAGCAGTAGCAATTGGTTGATTGTGGGTGTGAGTCTGAGATTTTCTTCTAGGTGGTGAGCTTGATGAATTTTTGTTGGATAAATTAGGGAACGGTTCTCTGACAGGAACAGGATTAGCACTTGGGGCAGTGATGGACGGTTTAGGGACTTCCGGAACATTCGAATTTGGTATAGTCACAATGGGAACTGATGTCTGTGTTATAATAGGTGTGGCACTCGTATTCTTCACTTCAACTTCAGTTACAATGGTTGCGGGTAACTGCGCAGAAATATCATCCTTGTTTACGTTACGCGGTGCAGCTGGTGGTGGTTCTTCAATGACCACACTTTTCGATTCGTTTCGAGGTTGAAATTCCTTCACAGGAATTTGCAACGGTTTAGACTCCGTTTTCATTGTACAAGAGTCTATCTGAGACACATTATTAGTAGTACCTAGCAACTGACTACATAACGCGGTTACATTAGGTACATTTTGTGTTGTTGGTGAACTGGTACTAGACTGACTGTTCACATCGTTAGTAGAATTTGTTTGGGAATTGGATAAACTTTGTGTTACATTTTGAGTTGTGGATGTGTTTGGTACACAAGTCGGTACCGTCGAGTCGGAACTGGACTCTTCGGTCGCGACTTTCGCAAGTGTTTTTGCAACCCGGGCTGCAAAGTCGGCTTGCACCTCAGCGTCATTATTCTGTAACAATCACCAATTCTGCGTGATAGACAATGATACATACCAATCGAATGAAGATTATGCTTGACAACTAAAAACTGGTTCCAAACTTAAATCATAGGATGAGAAATAAAACTAAATGTACTAAGAGAAATAAAAGAAACATTCAATATATTTTATACCTCTGTAACCCCTCAGCCATGGTTTGCAAACTATAAGCAGAATTACAAAAAACTGTATGTAAGTAACATATCTACATAATAATATACCTAGTCCAGATTAAAATTAATCCTATTTTTATAGGAAGTAACTATAAGTGAGATAAATAGTTTAATCGATTTATTTAGAGTTTCTTACATCAATTTTAATTTAATAGTTCTATTATAGATGGAGAATTTGTTACTAGTACAGAAAGCAATCAAAATTTTTGCATAACATTTGAATACTTCTACAAGCCGTTGAAAAGTTAAAAATAAAAATATTTTAATGGTCATGGCTTTTGGGTACAGACATTAATAATATAAACAATTGACTATAAGAGAACATCAACTTCATGTTTATTCTTGAAATTATTTGTTTAATTCAAAATGAGAGGGTTGTAATAATATTACAATTATAACACACAAGTTTTATATTTGATATTTTTTAACAAACAACGCTCCTATAGTCAATTGCTAGTGCATTAACATTCCAATATTACTCACCTGTGGTTGAGGTGTATCACGATTGCTAGATTCACCACTTTGAATAGTTTCATTATCTTTATAAATTTCGTGACTTATATTTTTACCAGTTGATGGGTCTACAATATCAGTAATAGCATTTTGTCCTCTTGGTTTCCGAGATTTTGTTGTACTATTTGTCGTACTTGTTGCACCACCATTATGACCTGAGTACACATCTTTAAATAACAAAATACATGATTCATAACATATACTACGGATAAGGTTAAGAGAGCGGTTGAATCTAGAATTATCCAGGTAAACTTAAGATTATTCATGCATGGAATCATTAGTAATGTTAAGTTCATCTGTATAATTCTAGGCCTATACGCTCTTCTAGCTATATATATAACATATACAAAATGAGTATTTTATTAATCAATATTTTAATCATTTAAAAATAAAAGTTTGTTATTAGCATTTTCAACCGTTATATAATACTATATAATGCAATCTCTTTTTATAAATAATGCAGATTATTTATAACATATTTTCATATTTATCTACCTAATAACTTACCACCATACATCTTATATACATTACTTATAACATACATATTCGAAATCTACTCTCCTCAAATGTTTCAGTGGAACTGATTCAAAATATGAAACTGTTCTTAACTTTGACTTATGAATTTACCTGAAATTCTACCTGAGTTTATGGGCAAACCTTTGAACAGGTGTACTAGCTTAATGGGCTTTAGAAATTCGAAGTTCTATTGTGATTTGAACTCCCAAGTCATAAATAAAATTTGTTGCACTTTCTACATTTTTTCTTTTTTTTTTAAAATATAAATTTCGTTAATTTATGAACGTTTCTTCTTTTGAAAATTTATCTATAGCAGATTTATGAACCATAAATATTTCATATAATTTGAATAAAAGCTCACGGAAGTCTGAATTGTAAATAGTTTTCGTTGGAATAAAACTTTCCTAAATTAGAAATACTATATTTTTTGAAGGTATTAAAAAGGTAGTATATAATACTGCAATTTTTATAACTTCTAAGATCCTTATATATAAGTTTCAATATATTCAACTGAGAAATTATTTGTTAACGTAAGTGCAATAGTTGATAAGTTACAAGAAATTTACATATATTCAATTTTGATTTTACAGTTTTAATATATATTAATTATTTCATTACATTTATTACCTCTCTTTTCAGAAATATACTTTTTAATACCAAACACAACTACTACAGGATAACCCAACAATTTAAATAATTTTATTTATGTTAAAATATACATAGGATTAAGAACCAAAGGCAGTATTTCCGTATGACATTTTATTACGTTGAAAAACAAACTAAATGTTTTAAAGGGACAGTAAACGCAACTAGGAAATAAATCGTGAAGAGATGCTATGCTATACAACTGGAAATAATAAATGCATGAAACAAATCGCGTAAGGATGCGATATCGTCCAATTCATTCACCGCTTTTCAATAATCGCTCCAAAACAAAAGTAAAAATAAACGAAAACACTTTCACTGCCAATTTGTCTCTAATTCATATAGATCCTTCATCGTCAACCTTATTCTTTCACTCTGTACATACTACCGCTACCAACTTCTCTTGACTCGCACGCATTCACACAAATTACATGCAATCTGTATAACATAGATGATTTACAACGTACCAGTCTGAGAAAGAGATATACCCATTGGGGGTAAAGGCTGAGCCTGTTGCGTTGGTTGCTGGAGTGTACCTTGAGGTACTACTGGGGCTCCTTGGGCACCGGCCAGCGGGCCTGCAACATGTTGTGCCCCACCAGTAACAGCACTTGTACCTGCCCTACTTAAACTTAGTGGTGTATTTGCTGGTTGGCCAGTGGGCCAGTAATCTATAAAGGAAGATACAGTATTGATTAAATTTATCTTTAATGTTTATGGCTTTATAATACTTACAAGGTTGAGGAGTTGGTGCAGGCGCACCATATCCAAACATATTTTGTGTTAAAATGGCAGAGTGTTGAAATGGTGGAAAATATGATTGATTTTGATGCGTTTGATGCCTTTGAGGTGGACCACTAAACTAAAATTATAAAATATTTATTACATTTACAATCATTAACAAAAATTGTGAATACCACAGTATTTTATAAGTAAACAATTATATATTTTGAAAAAAAAAAATGTTTAGAAATTTATTTATAAAATAATAGTTAAATACAAGAACATCTTCAAGAAACATTCATTCGATGATATAAATGAAATGAACGATGGATGACAATAATTATATAAAATCAACAATACTTACTACTTGAAGGGGTATTTGACTGTTCATTGCATATAAGGACTGCTGATGTGGGCCAGGGTGAAGATTAGGGACTTGATACATTGTTCCAGTTTGAACTGGCAAACCACCTGGATGATAAAGTGGAGTTGGTTGACCTCCACCTCCACCAACCCCTGACATTCCTACTACTTGTGCACCAGTACCCCCTTGCCCCCCTCTAATGCCTCTTGGTTGTTGTGGCCTCGGACCTTGATAATAACCCTGAAATTGATAATTAAATTAACGAGTAGAATATAAACATTGATCTTCGATCACAGATATATAGAGTTAATTACAAGTTTGCTAACTACAACATACACTTATAATTTATAATACATTCTAAATATTTTTAATATCGAATTCGTAGAAACTTCGTAATATACGAAATCATATAAATAAATTTGTAAACGACAGTACTTTTTTAATAATTTCCACTTACTTGTGACGTCGGTCTTGTCTGCGTTGGCCCATATACTTGTGACAGAGGTTGGGGCTGCAAATGGGCCTGTTTTCCCATTTCCTGAGGTGAAGGAGTATGCACGGGGGGGGTTGTAGTAGGAGCCGGACCTTGCGGCGGTTGTGACTGTACCCCAGGTGCTGGGGTTTGTGGTGGTGCTTGTCCTCCAGCAGGACCCCCTGGTGGAATACCTGCTGCTGATTGCCCTATGGACTGTAAGCCGCCGAGTGGTGGAGGTCCTCTGCCCCCAGGTACTCCTACACTACCCCCTCCCCCGCCCACTTGGCCCCCTGGTTGGGTGCCGTAATTTTGTCCAGACACATGAAAGTCTGATCCTGAAATACAAAATGAAAAAAACAAATTAAATATCATGTTTGAAATAAACGTAAAATTGAAATATGAAAACATAATTAAATCTCAAATAAATGATAGTATAAAGTGATAATAAAGTTTTCTTTATCACTTATTGATATTACAAATTATAATATTTAAGATTATTTCAAGTATTTAATAAAATTATATATTTACATTATAGTATTAATTACTCATGATTGTAAAGTCAAATTAATTGTTATATATGCAAAAAATAAATGTAATTTTTTTCGGATGAAAATTAAAATGTATTCTTGTAATTGTTTTAAAGCTAACACGAATCGGTAGTTTAACAAGTATCCGTCAAACAATCATCATTTTCTGAAATATAGTTTCAATACTACGAAATATGATTATTTTATATCGTAATATAAACTCAAAGCCTATGATTAGTGTACCACATTGAACATGCTTCCGAGAAAATAGCTACATCGAATAGATATTATTTGATATTGTATATCTCATTTCAAGATATTTATCAATTTTACAAAAAATTTCTGAAATAATAAATATTTATGAATATTTATGCACATAAATGAAAAGCAATGTGTTCCTTACATGTATAATTAATTTTTATTATTCAATTTTCCGTTAAAATATATAAATACGAAATAATTTATTTAGTTTTGTCTGAAGATGTAATCTAAAATAGTTTTTCATATGCACAGTCACACAATGGTTCGAGAAAAAATCATATCGATAATTGTTACAAAGTAACAAGAACTCTTTCATTATCACCGTTTGCCTTATAGTTATTAAATATATATATCCATATTTTTGTGATATCACAAAAAAAAAAAAAGAAAAAAAGAAGAAAAAATAGATTACGTTATACACTCAAATTCGCATATGTATAGTATTGTTCTGCTGTACTGCGCTCGCCATTCTGTCGTTAAACGAATTACTCGTGAAAGCGATTATGCGTGGAATTGCATGACATCGCTTGACACGTCGTCGTCGTCGTCGTCGTCTAAGAGATGCAGTATAATCGATTATATGTATTATCAAAACATCTAACGAATTCGAATTATTGCCCCCGAAGGAGTCTATAAATTTGCAATAATATTATGCACGAGGAATATGCACTTCTAAAGAAATGTAGAAGATATTTTTCACCACATGCTATAAATTTATCACGAGAAAATACGTTAAGAATACAGATAGATAAAGGAAGAAAAAAATATGGATACTTCAGCGCTCACCGTTGAAGATCGGCACGAAGCTGGTTATCGTTTTTCGTCACGTAAATACTATGCCTATTTGTACAAATGGATTTTTACAACGGAAGAACAATGAAGTGACAGCAAGGCTCTAACGTGAGCAAAGAAACCGAGAAGACGGCCTCGCGAACGGCCATCTTTGCACATGTGGACAGGGGTCGGAGCAGTGCTGCTATCTGTAGTCCCGTGAGTACATTGATTGCTACGAAAGGGGGGCGAGGCCGAACTCCATCGCCAGGATCGTATTAAGTACCGTGAAAACACGTAAGTTAAATGTAAACTTATATATACGAAAGATGTTTAAAATTTCAATATCCACTGATTATTATTCTCTGTATTAAAAAAATAACGTGTTAATTATGTGATAATACAATAATATAGTATGAAGGGCATTAAAAAAATTATATATTTATATTTTACTCTTCATAAAACACTTTTTTTTTAGAAAATAAATACACACTGTGACTTAAATTGTGATACGATTATTTTATCACCAATGCCACTATGTATTTTGAAATAAGTTTTATCACGTTATTTTAAACATGAAATTTTTATCTATTAGTACGCGCTAAAAATAATTTTTATTATGTATATTTAATACCATACAACTACATTAAAAAATTAAAGAACTGTTATACTTCGTGTAAATATCGATAAACGAATATATATTCTTTAATGTTTAATAATTGGTGATCTAATATATATATATATATCAGCAGAGTGAAAGAACGTGGCCTGGAAAATATAATCCAGAATGTAATACGTCATTTCCGGTGCCAATTCCTTTCCTCTCCTTCTCCCTCTCACTGCTCCTCTGACTTTTCCTCTCCCCTACTTCCATTAATAAATCATGTATAACATACATATAATAAAAAGCCTCATAAATCAATGTTGATTTTCACTATTTGATAAATTAATAGCGTTTAACAATAATTCGGGAAACAAATGCGAGGAAAAAACAGTACAGTACGTAAGAGAATAATACACATGAAAGTAGAAGTGAGGTTAGAACGGTCATACTTCAGCCACGTGGCTGACCAATACAAGAACAGTGACATGTTGAGGCGATAACCGTAGAAATAAGATCTTAAAAATTATTATCAGAACATGAAACGTTATCGTAATAAGAATATAAATTAAAAGTGACAAGCAACATAATCATAATTCATAGTCATGAGAATATCTGAAGAAACATACGTTGCATTTTTAGCGTTGATATTCGTACACCAACGATGAAACGTTAATACTATTATTTCTAAATTTTATTTATCCGAATTACCAAATAATTTTTTAAAAATAGTAATTATTTGATACAACGAATATTTACTACAGAACCATAAATTATTCTGTAATTATTCTAGACAGCTGTAAACCGCATTATCATAATAAAACTTTCACCGATCAGCCAAGAATTCAAAACGCTTTTTACAAATCCATGAAAATAGAATATAAAAATCATAATATAAATATTTTAAAAGTGGTAATATCACTGTATCTATAAATGTCTCCTATTTTATCGATACCGAAAGGTACATTCATAGAAATATATTATATTCGATATTATGAAAATTCGAACTGCAATTTTCTGTGGAATATGATACGAATAAAACAGTGAAACGAACGTGAAATTAGTAAAGTATTTGAAATATAGGAATTTTCATATTTTTGGAATAGTAAGAATTTCTTGAAATGTTAGAACGTTGGCGTCATTGCGGCGAGACATGTCATGCAAGAGGAAAGAATCGAACGTACCTTCGCGACTGTACAAGGTAGAAAAGCATTTTATCGATTGACCTATATCGTGAATTGTCTACAATGCCGCCCAGGGGCGCTAAGGACTAACCTAAATACTAAGTTACCCGATATATCGATACAGTAACCAGTCATAGGTTATGGATACTCATTAAAAGAATCTCTGTACAGAAATTTGTTTGTCCCTACCGAGATAAAGTGGAAGTATATGAAATATTTAATAAAAAAATCGTGATACGTTAAATATTACTTCAAATGAAATAAAAAATAGATATTCACGCGAATTGTGTTACAGTTACTACCAACTTGTTTTACATAATCTCATGAAATAAACGGAGGAAAATGATAAAGAGGAACTAATGTAAACTAAGAATATATTTGTCATCGTTTCAAGTAAAAATATCGTCAATTTATTTTTGTGATCATTATTTGATATAAATCGAGCTTAGCCAGGTATCCACAAATAGATGCAAACGATTCGACTTCTGACAGATAGGGCACCAGGTCAAATTAACTACCTCCAGCTCGAAAATAACGGACTTCGTGTATGCACATCTCTTTCTGTATGTACAGATATGCAAAACTATATACACATATGTGCATATCTATGCACAAATACATGCTATTATATATGTATTTGTGCACGCGATACAAAATTTAATAATTTAGGTAATTAAAGAGAATGCATAAAATTGTAAATTCCTGCAAACTATATCGAGAATGGTTAAGTATAATTTCTCTATATATACGAATATATTAATGACGAGAGTAGATCAATTAGAGTAGATAACAAACGATGCTCGAGTTAGTGTAGAACTAAAAGTAGTAATAAATAAGCAAATAAGATCTAATTTTGGGACAATGCTTCCATTGGTCACAAATATGTATGTCCATGATGGAGCAAATGAAGAGAGTATTCTTCGCTTTGGCGAAGTACATGCAAACGAATGTTTAGTGTAGCTGCAGCAGGGATATATTAACTTTTACTGTTACATTTACTAAATAGAGTTCTATATAGATGATAGATGAAAGAAAAGTGGACTACTATAAGCGACAGAAGCTAAATATTTATATATTTGTATTACTATACGAATTTCTATCTTTCCTTTTTGATAGTCTAATTTGATATTTTTAAAACAACGAATTTTCTAAATTACTCGTTAGTTATAGTTTCAAAACTAAATTAGAGATTTTTCTTTCTGATAAAAAAAAAAAAGAAGATTATTAAGTCATGTTCATATTTATTGAGAAATAATGTTAAATTAAGATAAGATAGAGGAATTTTTAAATAATTTGAAATTGCATCTCAATAATGTAATGATATTATTTGAATCTTCTTGAATAGAATCCCAGAATACAAGGTCACTGCACGACATTCAGGTCACTGATTTACCTCAAATATTCAACATAATTAGCGAATACCACATATTCAAAAAGATTACTAAACCTACAACTAACCGATGGCCGAAATTCCCTAGGAAAGAACCATGTTTGAAACTTAGGTTAGAATTCTGTAACTCTCAGTAGCCAGAAATAAATTTTCTCCTATATATATATATATATATATACTTCTGTTATTATTTTAATCATCTTTCTAATTATCTTCAAATTCTTAATTTTTAGTTTTCAATGTGTGATTAAATTTAAATACATGTTACCTGATCAATTTACTGATATACCTGTATTATTGAACTGCTTTTCACTACTTAATTATGTAATATCTACAAGAATGTCAGTGGACTGTTATAAGAATAAAATTAATGTATTTTTGGATTAATCACTTTTGCTGAAGTTGGCAGTACATTGACACTGCTAATAGTTACATCTCCCAAAAATATATGCTACTATTATTATTTCTACTACTACAAAATCAGTTCCTATTAATAGCTAACAATAATTCAAATAACTGAAATGACTACATATGTCAACAACTACATATGAAACTCGAATGAAATAATTTAAATGTCAGATAATTACCCTCAATCATAAATTGGAAAATTAATATATAAAGTAGTACATTACCGCTCGATTGATAAATATATTAATAAATTATCGAATACTTATTAAACTATTCAATTACATAGTTCATTATCCGCGAATATTTTTACATAATTGTCGTGCTTCTTTGTCCCAAAGGAAATCAAAATTATATAGCGGAAAACTGGGCACGTGTTCTCGATATCTTACAATTTCAAAAGATGTCACTACTGGTGTTATAAAAAAATATCGCTTGTAGAACCTAGAACGGTATACAATCATCACCATCGTCCTCTCTTTCTTTTTGGCCCTACACTGGGTTCTTGTACTTACTAGTATTAGCAGTAACGACCCGATACTGTGGCGGTGCTTGTTGATGCTGGGTTTGTTGCTGTTGTTGCTGTTGATGACTCAGATGGTTAATGTTAACAGTCAATTGATGATGGCTCAGCTGATGATTCAAGTGGGAACTCGGCGAGGGTGGTGGCTGATGGGCCGGATGCACGTGGTGATTGTGACCTGGCTGTGGATTTTGTGGATGGTGGGCCGAAAGATGGTGATGGTGATGAGACCCTCCACAATGTGGTAAGAGACAGTGCATAGGTCCTACACCTACGGCTACACCCACTGCGCCCTCCTTCGAGACGCCATATCTCGAAACCATTCTTCCTGATGTACCTTTTTCTTCTTATCCAGCGTCAATAATACACACGCCTTAGCCGATAAGGTTGATCAGAAAAAGAATCGATCAAAAGGAGGCGTTTTCGTCGACTGCTTTGAAGATCTTTTCAAATAATGAATGCATCAGGATTCGAACAATTAATATTCACAACTGTAATAATTGAAAAAAATACTGTATGAATCTATGGAAAAACTTCTTTACCGTTAGTGCAATACGATCATACGTGTTCACTCGTTCATATTTCTAAATAGTATATGTATGATCGTATAAAAACACGTTCTGTTATTCGTGTCGTAAAAATAAATATTTTTTTTTTTCTTGGTTGTTTCTGTTTGCGTCTCTTTTTGTTGCTGCGTTGATGAGCTCGAAGCTACTGATAGGTTCGATACATTGAACAAACAGACAATGGTGTCAAGTGCAAAGAGCTCATCGATATTTAACCGACACTACTTTCGTTGTCCACGAATCTCTCAATCGGCAATGCTGCACCATGATGTCATCGTCTACTTGATCGGCAATATAATAAAGTGCCTTATGAACGGAGCTCATCTATTGTGATAGTTGAATACGCCCTGTGGTTGAAGTCACGAGAGATCTCTTTGAAAGTGATGGCGGTTGATTTCTTTTTTCTTCAATTTTCTTGAAACATTCGTTAAATTTGCGTTAGTTGCACATGTACAATCATTTCCAACTTTCTTCTTCAAAGCGATATTTTTCTTGTTCTTTTTCTTCGATTAGTGGTATATTTGAAATTTCACTTATTAAGGTATTTAACGCAGAAAGCGTAAGAAAATATTTTTGAGAACGGAAATTCCTGACGATCAGAGGAAACGTAGATCAAATTCTTGAAAAATGTAAAAATTTGAAGGACGACGAAATTTCCATTGGAACGATACTAGAACGAAAGGAATAAAATATCTTGACCAACATTTAATGGAAGGATCGATCGATAGTCATCGAATTTTGCTGCCTAAGACGAGTTTTATAGACGAAATGTCTGTACACGTGATGATCCGAAAACAACATTTTTATTGAACACTTTTCAAATAGCGTAAATTAATTCACTCATGCAATTTCATTATTCAAGAACAAGTTCGGTATGAACATTTAATTTTCTGCTTGAAAATATCGAGCCACCATATTGTTTTTGTTTCGTATTGATGCACGCGATTCCTCTTGATGTAATACTCTCGCACTCAACTGTCAAAACTTCTCAACGTGTAGATGCACAAAGGTAAGAGACACGCTGAACGGACGGACTATCGTACCTCTTCCATGCCAAAATCGATATTTAAGGCTCGACCGGCGTCTCCCTCTTCGCACCGCCCACTCCAGCCACGGGAAACTTCCTGCTCACAGAGCACATACAGGTTACGTCTGCCGAAGATTTAGCACTAAAACGGAATCTAGCTGTACAAAAGTTCGTTTCACAACAGACTCTTTCAAATTTTCTTCACACGTTTCTTCTTCACTATTGGATCACTAGGGGAAGTCTCGAGACTGATGATCGGAAATATTCGGCCGCGTGCCGAAAAGTACCGAGTCGTGTTCTATGTAGTTCCCTCCGTATCGAGATTTATGAACGCGATAAAAAGCGCCGCAGGTAAAGAAGCGAATTGTTCGCAGCACAATGCACACACGATTTTAATAGCACTACAGATATTCTGTAACACGCACGTTACATACTCTAAAAAAAAATTTATACGATGTAAAAGTTCGAACCGAACAAGAAATTAAATCGACGGATTCGAAACGGCGTCAAGTCGTTCCTAGGTTGCGTGAGATTCTTTCTCGGACACCGTAAAGTTGTCCGATAATATACCGCCCTTTTTCAAGGATTTTCCTTGCTCGATATTACGAATCGAAGTTTGATATATATTTAACGTATGCGTTTATAACTCTATAACGTGTGAACTCGGAGTGGGGAGAGACAAATCAACGAAGATGTAAAGACGAGCGTACCCTTTTGCAAGGGACGCGGCGTAGACTGATGCAGGCTAGTCCTTCTCGCACGACCTACGAATCGCGACCCGTGGCCCCCTACCCGTTTCGCTCTGCAACTAAGGAGCGACAGGTTTGTGCGACGATTTGAAAAGTACCCCGTAGCTATTTGATTTTATACAAATTTCGTACAATTTTTACAAATTTTTGTACGTACCGTATTTACATTATTCTTAATAAAAAATTATTTATAAATTATCAAATATTAAAAAATATTTCAAATTACATAATTACATATATTTAAACCTGTTAAATAGCAGTATAATACAGAAATTGAAAATTCAAATAGTATATAATGATCAAATTCAAATAATAATAAATAATGAATGCATAAATGTTAAATATACGCGTAATGATACGGCCCTGTAAAGTAGTCAAACGCCAAACCCACACCGAGTCGAAGGTACGGCCGCGTGCGCAGACCAGTGGACAGAGTGCAAAGCCCTGCGCATGCGTAATGGACGTCGTCACGGCAGACCCTTCAACTCGCATGAATGCAGTAGGCGCAGCCCCACGACACTTGAGGGTAAGGTGACGTGCAGCCTTGTGCATGCGCGTATATAGCCCATTCGCTTTAACTTCACCACACCATGTCACACCCGTTTGTTTGTGCTTTGTACTACTGTAAGAACAATTCAACATGCTCATACTTGGCATAGATATTTTCCAAATAGTATAGTAATTGTAGAATATAGTAAAATATAAATAAAATAGAATTCAGAATTTCGAATCTTTTCCAACAAACTAATTAAATTACGCAATTCGACGTGAATAAAATATGAGTTAATTCATCATGAATTGCCAACGATTAGATCATTTATTTTGTTAATAGTCATAGAATTTATATTTTACCGATAAAGTAAATTAAATATTATTCAGACGTTTATTTTTACACCGACGTATTTCATATGAATAGAGATCAAATGATGTACCATCATCGACATTGTTAAGAAAGAGCTCGTTAATTGAAAAATTTCTTACAAAAAAGTGAAGAAACGCTTATGCATGAGATAATATAAGCAATGTATTTATATACCACATTTTAAAAGCGAGCAGTATACGTAGATTAATCTCCCTTATATTTGATGCACAACTTTAATGCACTCTAACAAAATAAGTATATTCGCCAATCAAGCACAATGAAGAAATTTTGTCAGTGTTATGTATCCTTTTCATCTTAAATATATCGTAGCATCTTCCGTATCATGATCAATAGTGGCTGAAATATCCTTTAACAAGAAAACCATTTGAATCATCGGTTTTCTTGCTCGATCGATAAAGACGACAAAGCTTCTGAAATCCTATCATTTGCAATTCAAACTTCCCCCTCCGCGATAATAAACAATGATTTAACGAATCACAACATCTTCGTAATCATAGTACATATACTGCTAACAACAACGTACGTTATTATTGTCGAACTCGAATCGAACTCCATTATTACCGCAAGGGGGCGGTGGGGAGAGCAGTGTATTTCTTAACGACAATCAAGGCGATGAAGCAAACCGAGGAAGTAAGAAAAGAGCGACGAGTCACGAAGATGCACGAGCGTGTGTCATGCGTGGGCGAAAATGCACGAGCGCGTGGGTACAGCGAAGAAACACGAGAGGCGTGCTCGGCTTCGTTCAAACGAGGAACAAGATCCGCGAATCATGTGTATAGGTTAGGTAGGTAACCTAGTTTTGCCGGTGCACCAGGCCAGGCTGCAGCAACGCCGTTCAACGATCGATACCTATATGCACCCGGTACTGCCCACAGCCTAGATTCGCTTGTCTAGGATAGGTGCAAGAAGGGGACTACGTGACCTACATCTTAGGAAGTACAACGAAAATATGATTTAAACAGCCGAATTCGGAGCTTGTTTGGCCATAATGGAATCAAGGGACTAAATTCCGCTACGCTCTCGTATTAAACTCCAGTTAATCATACTTACAGTCCTGACCTTTGGATCATGCTTAATCTCGATAAACATCCTTGAAATACTTTATTGTCGATATAGAGGTAATGTACTCGGCAGGTGAAGTTTAAGGTTCTGAGTAGAGCTTCTGCGTTCAATGCCATTTGCACATACACATGTTTATATCAATTGCAACGCTTGATGCGTGTAAAAAATTCAAAATATTTATAGATATTACAACTCTTGCTATTAATAGGAAATTGTTACCGCAATAGACGACTACGATATATAATTAACCTTTTGAAATTAATCATCAAAAAAATTAATTATATTAAAAGTTCTATATCAGTTTGTCCTTATAAATTTATTTTAGAAAATGATACATTACAAACATTCAATTTTTCATTTTCCAGTACCACAGTTCGATTTCCACGAGATAACTAATAGAAAATATAATCATCCAAGAGAAGGTATAAATATTTAAAGGACAATTTCAAAGACATATTTCCGATGACGAAATAACGTTTGAACGTGTACTACTGGTACCAAGACAATGATAAGAAACAACGGTTCAGCTTTCGATTTTGAAATGATAAACATGTACATAGAGATATATGCTCTCCGACACAAAGCATCGAGCGAAAGAATTAGCAACTACGCACATACATCTCGTCTTTGCTTTGTGACGTATGCGTATATACGCATAATGTGTACAACGTATATTTTTATATTGGAGAGGAAGAGTCGTAGCAGACAAGAATATGGGGGAGAAACCGTCTGGACGTTTAAGTATAAAAAACCGAAGGTTTTCGGGGATGAGAGGTAAACTGCGCGTTGAAGACGTACAATATGTCTAAGGGGAGGGTAAGGAAAGAGGGAGAGAAACGAAGTTAGATCCGTAACCTCCGGCAACCTTCGGTTGTCTCGGTTCAAACATTTCGCCCAGACGAGACGCAGTAGTTCAAAGTCCTCTGGTGAAAACATAGCCACTGACTCATGCTTGCCAAAAGAATTCAAGGAAACCAGGCATGGTCGCAAACTTTTCCAAAGTACACAATGATTCACTGATAATTGCCAGCTTTGGACGAAAACTCATTAGCTTTCGTACCTTTCGTGAATCATTCGGGGTACGATACTAATTGCTCCAAGGAAAATGTACATGTACCTATGAAAAATATCATTGAAAAGGAAACATGAAAATTGAGATTCTGATTTTCTGCAATATTTCCAGGAACTCGCATCCCTTAGCGTATCCGAAGAGATATAGGACTCCCGTATCGGGTGACCCTGGTATTTCATTCCGGTTGACCAAAAATGTGAGCGCCTTATAGAAATTCCATAGAACGGCTACAGAGGCAAGGAACGAGAGGAAAGTAGACAGAAGGTACTCACGAACCATAGAAGTCGGTTTCCAGGGGTCTTTGAGCCCTCAAGCCGTTGACCTTGGAAAGGTAGCGTGGAGATCTTGTGGTGTGAGAGCAGTAGTACTCTGCCTCTCTACGTGGGCGTTCGGTAAGAGGTTACAAGCCTGCAAGAGGAAAAAGGCTAGTCGCGAGCGCGGGGAAAAGCAGTAACACAAGCCAACGTATGCCTGAAGAGAGACAGAGAGTCTCTCTGTGAAGGGAGGGTCGATATTTACCGGCCTTCCCCCTTTCCTCAGCCGGGCAACGACCTACCACCCCTGCGTACCCGCGAAACTCGCTCTTTTACCCTTCATATCGCTTTCTCTCTTACATTCAAT